ATTGGATGACCAAACAGTCTTAACTCTGAAACCAGAAGTGTTAGTCCATCGCCATCAGGCCTATAAACCCCCCCCCCCTCCCAAGATACCCCTATACACCAAATTTCAGCCTTGGGACAGCTTAGTGTACCTGAACAGACAAACAAACGACAGTCACAAATATTAGTATTAGATAATAAAATCTGTCATTGAGTCAACTGGCGTGGGTTTCGAAACCCTGGTTGTACGTGACTAGGAGTAGGTTGGCCTGTCCAGCCTTGTGGGTATTCTCCGGGTCCGGTTTCCTCCCACAGCTGAAGATCCATACGCTCAAGTGAATTATTGAAATAAAATTGAACCATTTGTAAGTCCCGAAATGACCTAGTTGGTGTCAAGTGGACGTTAAACCCAATTTCTTTCCTGTTTACAATCTTCACAAAAACGTTAATTTAAGCTGGCTGCAGTTTGGGTTATAGTTGTACGAAAGGTACGGTTACATGTATGTCCCACCAGACATTTACATTACAATGGTACATTTACAACACAAGTTGTCACAAAATCTAAAGTTTTATGAGGTCCCTTGGGGTTTGTAAAGCCTTAAAGATGCATTACCATATGTGAATAGATAAATCTGCCTATTATTTACACATATTCGCATGAACCTAATTAATTCGCTCAACCATCGCGATAATAAAAAATCTCTGCCACATCTTCAGTGATAACTTCACTCAGAATGAAGTTTTCAATATATTCATTTTACATTATCTATTTATGAACTATTAACAATGGTCAGCTCTTTATCTAAATCTTACATAATGTATCTTGTTAAGCTTATTCGGATGGCTGAATGGTTAACACATGCGCGCTGTATCATAAGGCCTGTCTTTGAGTCAATTGGCGTGGTTTCGAATCCCCGGTTGTATGTGAAAGGAGTAGGGTCGCATGTCCAACCGCGTGGATTTTCTGCGGGTCTTCCGGTTTCCTCCCACTGCTAAAGACCCCTACATGCAAGCAAATTATTGAAATAAAATTAAACCATATGTTAGTCCCGAAATGACCTAGTTTGTTTTAAGTGGAGGTTAAACCCCATTCCTCTCTCTCTCTCTCTCTCTCTCTCTCTCTCTCTTTCTTTAAACTGTAACTTGTTTAACTTATTAATTGATTCTAGTCTACTGTAAAATAGATCACATTAATAAAAGAATCGAATATCGTGCACAGTGTGTAGAACTAGGAGATTAAACTCCAATTTCATATGTACATGTACGTTCCTGTATGAAAATTAATAATAGATATATATACCTGTAGTTCACATACATTATACTCATTGTTGTTAATTGAATGTGAAAAACTGAACAATATTTCGTAATATCAGTATAAAGTAATAGATTGTGATTGACTGTCACCACGGATAAACCAATACACCAATACACCGAGAGAAAGAGATGTATAAAAGTACAGGATTTTATTAATAGTGGTGAAAGATATGTTTAAACAGGAATGTTAAATTCATATACGATATTTTTATTAAAATGAATAACTTGGCTGTAAGTATAGAATCTGTATATTAAACTCATATTAAAGAATCAATGCATATATTAAAGAAGGTAAATCGCTTATATTTGGCACCTAGAAATTGACACAATTGGGTTGCAACTGTATGTATAATAATGTAATATGGATGTATATAAATAGAGGATATTTGTCGTTTTAGAGTGAATAACATATTTTATTTCATCGAGAAGCATTCGTGAAAATATAAAGTTTTCTTGCTTAGAGATGAAATAAAATATGTTATTCACGACAAAACGACAAATGTTCTATTTATTTTAGGATTTTACAATCATTTTAGGTAAAAACAACATGGACTACTGCTAGCCAGTGGAATAACACTTTTATTTCACTGATAAAACGCGGTATTCCACTACTGATCATAAAATAAACTGATTTACATTCAATCGTTTCTCTTTGTACTCTATTTTCTAATCATTTGTTCGGCGAAATACGCCAGAAGTCTCAATCGTATGGAAATCTCTAGCGTCTTGTTATTCCAGTCTACACTGATAGTACTTATTGCACATGCCCTCCATATAAGAATATGGTGTCACCGTTTAACATGACTCATAGAATATGTCTAGCCTTGTTCTTCGAGTCCCTTGTTACAAATGTCGCTAAAATGCATTCTGGTACACGATTCGTGTACCAATATTAAAATGGTTATTTTGTATTAAATATTGGATATCAGAAACCCATCTTTTCTCGGAAAGATCACAATGTTGATTTAAATTGACAAATATTCGTGTTTTTACTGTCGAAGGCTTTGGATGAAAAAACTTAGCTATTTTAAACACTACTATACAGTGTTTGAAATATTTGAATTTGGAAGACCTTGGATGATATTCAGCTACTTTAGCTACATTAAACAATTTAAACGCTATGGGAATGTTTTACAATCTAGAATATTGTGAAAGTTGAATCTCCACTAGAAATATCAATCCAAACATGTAGCGCTGTAGGAATCGTTTGTAAACTACACGTACAATCTTGTAAAAGTTTAATCTCTACTAGAAATATCAGTCCAAATATGGTTCAGTTTCATTCACTATTTATAAAGTTATGATAAATTAAAATTTCGTCGAACCGTGCTGTTCGAGCGTAACAAGACATCTCCATGTTTTATTGGAAGCTTCGTCAAACTGAGTCCGCAAGATCGTCTGTGTTGAGTCCGCAAGATCGTCTGTGTTGAGTCCGCAAGATCGTCTGTGTTGAGTCCGCAAGGTCGTCCGTGTTGAGTTCGAAATGACGCGGGACTGAAATGACGCGGGACCGAAACCTGTTGGGCTTAGTTTAAATCTATTGATATTTGGTTTGTTTCATTAATTAAATGTTAAATATTCAATCTGAGTAAATATTAGCGTGGATTAAATATACATTATGACGTCACATGAATAATGACGTCATTGTATTAATCATATTAAACATACATTATGACGTCACATGAATAATGACGTCATTGTATTAATCATATTAAACATACATTATGACGTCACATGAATAATGACGTCATTGTATTAATCATATTAAACATACATTATGCAAGAGCTAAATCTGCCTATTGCAGGACTTTCTTTAGGCCTGAAATGTTTTCTAAAGTATTAATTAGACATTAATTAACTGATCCAGGCCTTAATCAACTCTCGATGGCATCAGATTTCTCCAATATTAAATAGATTAGAATGGTTCAGCGATACTTCGATTTAATCAAATATGGAGGACCGAGACTTAGCTTCGATCAACCAGTACGGTGGTTGAAATTATTGCACACCTCTGTCAAATCTTCAAAGGCTAATATCTTCGCTTGTAATAGAGTAATTTGAATGAAATTTTCAAAATATTCATTTTACGTTATCTATTTTCGAACTGTTATAGCAAGAATGGCTAGTTCTTTATATAAATCTTACATAATGTATCTTTAAGCTGTGAGAAATCTGACCTAAATGATTCATCAAGTCTCTAAAGCGGAAATTGCAAATTTTCTAAGAAAGTCAAAACATAATTATTTCTATGTCTTTTGCTCAATAGGTTGTCAACTCACTACATGTATTATACGATCATAGGTATCATTCTCCCACTTATAAATCCAATGACCACGGAAATAATAACACAATTACCTCCCTTGATTTTCTATTCCCCCCCCCCCCCCCATGGAATAGCTATCTTCAAATGTTTGAATTTGAAGTTAAAAATGATATTTTGCCAATTTCTTAACTGTCAATAGTGAATTATAGGATTAATAGGATTATTCTTGAACAAGGTAGGACTGTTTATAGATACCATCTATTTTAAGGCTTTATTTTAATACATTTTAAAAATATAACTTAAAAATATGAAATTGCAACTTTAAATTCGTACAGATTGTGATATTTGTATTAAAATAAATTACTTGGCAATGGGGTTAGAATCTGTGTACATGTACATAGAGGATATTTGTCGTTTTAGAGTGAATAACATATTTTATTTCATCGAGAAGCAAGAAAACTTATATTTTCACTACGCATTCTTGAAAATATAAACGTTTTCTTGCTTAGAGATGAAAAAAAAATATGTTATTCACGACAAAACGACAAATGTTCTATTTATTTTATGATTTTACAATCATTTTAGGTAAATACAACATGGACTACTTTGTCCGCTTCTAGCCAGTGGAATAACACTTTTATTTCACTGATAAAACGCGGTATTCCACTACTGATCATAAAATAAATCTTGATATTTGTTTAAAAAATGAATTACCTGGACAGTGTAAGTAGGACCTGTAGCTCTGGTAGTTATTCATATTGAATTGAATTAGCTGTTTAATTGTCAGTGATTGTAGGACCTGTTTGATTTAGGTCGAATAAGTTTACAGTTAAAGACCGTTGTTTAACCTGTAAGATACATGTAGGTCAATACAACCAACATTAAAACCAACAATCTATATATATGTCATTTTCTAGCTAGAATCTGTCGATCTCAACTTCTGTTGATTCAAATAAAATGTACATTATAATACAGAAATCAATTTTATGTTAGATGTAGTTTGTAGGTCTGTTTAAACCACAAATATTTTCAATAGTTTACATGAAATTTAAATCATTTGAGACTGTTATTGATGTCGAATGTAAGTTTGGATAATTACAAATTGATTGAATAGCAATCAGCAGTCCTCAAAATTATTACTGTAATGACCTAGTTTGAAGTTATTATCTCTCTCGCCTGTCCAATGTCGTGGGTTTTGTCCGGATCCTCTGGTTTCCTCCCACTGCTAAAGACTCCTGCATGCAACAAGTAAATTAATTGAAATAAAATTGAACCCTGTGTTAGTCCCGAAATGATCTGATGTACGTTAAACCCCATCTCTCTAGACAAGGGCTCATCCCCTTTAAGAACAGGTGATGAATCACTGTCATGAGTTAATAGATAATAATACTATATAATGTCACCCTAGCTATGTGTATTAAAAAATAGTCTATTTATATTTTCAGAGTAGTTTCACCTCTTTTTGAAGTTTTATCTGTGACCAAACATTTGTACACTAGTCGATAAACTCTAGTCTCTTGTTACGTAGGTAAGTAAAACTATAAAATATATAATATATCATTCACCACCGTAGTCTGTCATACATCTACCTGATATAAACCTCTACCTTCATTAAACACTTACTTGATGTCGAAGATCTGGATACATCAGAATATTAATTTTTCACAGCTGTTTGAACAGACATTTTAAAGGAGCTAAATCGCTAACATTTGGGACCTAGAAATTGACAAAAGTGGGTCGCAACGCATATAATACTGTAATATGAATGTATATAAACTGATTTACATTCAATGGTTTCCATTTTTACTCCAATTTCAACTCAGTTACATGTATGTTCGGCGAAATAAGCCAGCAGTCTCAATCGAGTGCAAATTTCTAGCGTCTGGTTATTCCAGTCTACATACGCCGTTCAATTTGGTGCAATGTGTCTAGCCTCGTCCCTCGAGTCTTTTTTTACAACTGGGACTGAAGTGCATTATGGTACACGATTTGTGTACCAATGGTAAAATGTTTATGTTGTCTTAAATATTGGATATCAGAAGCCCATCTTATTCCTGTAAGATCACAACATCAATGTTGATTTAATTTGACAAATAAATCATGTTTTCAATGTTGAATATTTTGGATGATATTGAGTTAGAGACTTAGCTACTTTAATATTCATTAATATTCCACTGTCCCTAGAAAACTAATTAAAAGTAAGCAGAAAAAATCTGATTGTTCAAGACTACTTCCTCTATACAATGCACATTGACTAGATCTATTTGTTCAGGTCAACTCAATTTTCATCAAGGTTGCTGAGATGTAAATAAGGTTAGAGCACGTGATTGTTTGCGAAATTGTAGATTTAGGGTTAGGGTAGGCTTTAGGGCTAGGAACAGGGTAAGGTTTAAGAATTTGGCGTATGCTCGTCTTCATTAGCCCAGTCGGAGCAGAACAGTAGAACATTAAACCCCATTTCTAAAGATTTCTGACTGTGACCTCCCCTTTCTTCTCGTGCCATGTCATTGGTAGCCTGATTGTTGGAAATCAAAATAAGGCTATATGTACATGTAGGTGTCCAGACAGAATTTTACTCATAGCACACAGCATGGTGTATGTCCATTAAACTCATAGCACACAGCATGGTGTATGTCCATTAAACTCATAGCACACAGCATGGTGTATGTCCATTAAACTCATAGCACACAGCATGGTGTATGTCTGTTTACTTATAGCACACAGCATGGTGTATGTCCATTTTCTAATAGCACACAGCATGGTGTATGTCCGTTTACTTATAGCACACAGCATGGTGTATGTCCATTAAACTCATAGCACACAGCATGGTGTATGTCCGTTTACTTATAGCACACAGCATGGTGTATGTCTGTTTACTTATAGCACACAGCATGGTGTATGTCCATTTTCTCATAGCACACAGCATGGTGTATTTTGTTTACTCATAGCACACAGCATGGTGTATGTCCATTTTCTCATAGCACACAGCATGGTGTATGTCCATTAAACTCATAGCACACAGCATGGTGTATGTCCATTAAACTCATAGCACACAGCATGGTGTATGTCCATTTTCTCATAGCACACAGCTTGGTGTATGCCCGTTTACTTATAGTACACAGCATGGTGTATGTCCATTTTCTCATAGCACACAGCATGGTGTATGTCCATTAAACTCATAGCACACAGCATGGTGTATGTCCATTAAACTCATAGCACACAGCATGGTGTATGTCCATTTTCTCATAGCACACAGCATGGTGTATGTCCATTAAACTCATAGCACACAGCATGGTGTATGTCCATTAAACTCATAGCACACAGCATGGTGTATGTCCATTTTCTCATAGCACACAGCTTGGTGTATGCCCGTTTACTTATAGTACACAGCATGGTGTATGTTGGTTTACTCATAAAATACAGCATGGTGTATGTCCATTAAACTCATAGCACACAGCATGGTGTATGTCCATCTTCATTAGCTACTGTAGCTTAATGGAGTAAGTACAAGTAAATGATTATACAGTACCCCACTTTATCTACATGTATAATTGTGACTTCACAGTTTCACCACCAAAATTCTTCACATATAATTTTTTTTCTATTTACAGGAATTCAAAGATTAAAAAAATTGGATTAACTGAACGTTAGATCTTATGTTTATAATTGGAGTAAAATCAACCAACAGTATTGTTTGTAATTGTCATGTAGGAATAATTTCTAGTCAAATTCATCGAATCAACTTGATTCGATAAGTTCCAGTTTAAAAAAAACACATTAAAAAAAAGAGCCCCACGAGTAGTGATTTTGAGAATATGGAAGGAACAGTATCCAATGGAAATTGTAACGGACACACAAATGGATATAAGGTGCATAAAAATGGTCACGTAAACGGAATAAACGGCACAAATGGAATAAATGGTACGAACGGGAAAAAATTAAACGGCAAAAATGGAAACACGTTAAAGGTAAATATAATTTTTTTTATGTAAATTGTGTTAAATGACCAAATTACAGGTATATTTTTTATATGTAAACTGTGTTAAATGACTATACTAAGGTACATTGTATATGTCATGTGTTGGAGCTGTGTTCATAAAAACCGTGTTAAATGACTATACTAAAGGTATATTCATGAGTCTAGGCTCTGTTCATTAAAACCATGTTAAATGACTATACTAAATGTATATTGCTTGAGTCTATATTGCATGTAATATTATAAATGTTATGCACATGCGCAATAATTCCATATTTATACTCGGTAACAGAATTATGTTTGTAACCAGTTGATAAAAGGACAAGCTCCCGAAACGCGTCTTGGATTAAAACTGCTCTACATGTAGTTTTGTTGTTTTGGGAATATTTATACTTTTACTATTATTTTGCTTTCGATCCCCAACCGTATCACTGAGATCAGGTCTTCCACCCATTAACTTTCAATAAGGAGTTAATACGTCTCATCTTGGATTTTATTGTTAAATTATCACTTTTTACATATCTCAAGTATCTGAGCTTGATCGTTTGTGTTTAAAATACACTTTCATCTTCCTGTAGTCGTGAGGGTGAGGGATAGTGACGGGCATCATACACTGTAAGTACATGTAGAATAGCCTAGGGACTTGTCATCTGGATGGCTGAATGGTTAGACTGTGTGTGTATCTCCATGTCTCTGTGGGGTTGTATGGCTGAATGGTTAACGCATGTGTATCGCACCATGTCTGTCATTGAGTCTAGTGGCGTGAAATACCTTGATAATTTGATAAATGTAATCTTTGTTTATTATTTCCTCGATTTATGTGCGTTATCAATGTTATCAGATAGGTTTGTTTGGGTTATTGTAGTCACTGTGTTATGTAAAGTGACTTGAAGTAAACTACATGTAACATTGTTATCAGAAACATCATCACGCCACAAAACATCACCCTCGTAAACCATCAGATATTATGTAGCTTTCAAATTAGGTCGATCTCTTCCAAATTTTGATAGCCAATCAATTTTTATAAGCCCATATTGAAAAGTTCAGGTACATGTCTGTATAACGTCCTTGCCTCCCTCCATTAGTTGGTGTTAGGTGGACCGGAACCCCATCACTGCTAAAGACTCATATGTGCAAGTGAATTATTGAAATGGAATTGAACCCTGTGCTAGTCCCGAATTGACCTAGTTTGTGTCCAGTGGACCTTAATAAACTCTCTCTCTCTCTCTCTCTCTTTCATAAAAGAACCCTTTGAATTTTAATATTAAAGCTGGTGTAGATAAGAAGGGGACATTAAACTCCCATTTCATTTCAGATCAACTGTTTTTTGGGGGAGAGGGACTGTATTAAAAACTTATAAATGTTATATGATAATGATAAATTATGTCTTAAAATAGATAAATTACACATAAACAGTAGGATATGTGTAAAATTCTATACAGGTACAGGCAGCCTATACAGGTAACATACATGTATATAGGTAGCCTATACATGAACGGGTACATGTATGTGTAAAGGGGGTTACACCTGTATATGATTCAACAAGTTCTATATAGGTACAGGTGTATATATATAGGGTATACTATAATAATAGGGAGTTCAAAGTCTATGTTCACTACTGGTATACAATCATATTAAACTATTACTTCTATTAAACCCTTATATTGTGATATATTTATATAGTATGTCCACATTGATTCACAGAGTATACTGTATAACTCATTGTTATATATAATATTTGATATTAAATGAATGAATTATAATATAATAATATTGATTCATTTTAAATAATAATGATGTTGTTACATTTATTGTTGGCTTATTAAACTTGTGGTGGGGGGATGGGTGGATAGCCAAATGATTAGCATGCGTGCGCGGCATCATAAGGGTTGTCATTGAGTCAACTGGCAGGGTTTTGATTACCTGGTTGTACGTGACAAGGAGTAGGATCGCCTGTCAAACCTCATGGGTTTTTTCTGGGTCCTCCGATTTCCTCCCACTGCTAAATACTCCTACGCACATGTAAATTATTAAAATAAAATTGAACCGTGTGTTAGTCCCTAGTTTGTGTGTGTGTGTGTGTGTGTGTCTCTCTCTCTCTCTCTGTTATTAAACTTAGGTCCCATGTTTGATCCCTGTGTTGGCTGAGAGAGCTTAACAGGATTTTTTGGCATTCTTCCTCCTTGTCAGTGGCGTAGGATGGAGGGCCTGGCAAAGAACAACATTTAGTCGTTCGGATGGTATCAAAAACCCTTGATAGCTAGAATTCGAAACAAGAGTAGCGCTGCTGTCCAGGAAGAATGTCCCTTATAGCAAACTCCATATCGTATGATATCCATTCACGTGATCTGATCAGGTGTGTTTTTGGAGGTGTTTGTGTATATTGTGTCAAGTCTGTAGCTTTGTCTTGTGATGGGGGGTTGGATGGCTGAATGGTTAGCACGTATGTACGTGCTGTATCATACGGCCTGTCATTGAGTCAACTGGCATGGTTTCGAATCCCCGGTTGTACGTGACAAGGAATAGGGTCGCCTGTCCAACCTCGTGGGTTTTCTCCGGGTCCTCCGGTTTCCTCCCACTGCTAAAGACCCCTACCCGCAAGCGAATTATTGAAATAAAATTAAACCATATGTTAGTCCCGAAATGACCTAGTTTGTGTCGAGTGGACGTTAAACCCCATTTCTCTCCCTCTCTCTCCTTTGTCTTGTGATATTCTATGTACATGTACTATGTAATGGACTCTTTATGGCTACCCCCTGGATCCATTCACTTGATCTGATCAGGCTTGTTTGTCAATTAGTCCTTCGGATGATACAAAAAACCGAGGTCCTGTGTATACATTGGAATGCACGTAAAAGATCCCTTGGCAGTTGGAATTCGATATAAGAGTAGGCGATAGTGCCACTGCCCGGGCAAAATTTCCCTCATAGCACACTTTATGGCGTATGCCCGTCTTCATTAGCCCAGCATAGGAGCAGAACAGTAGGACGTTAAACCCCATTTCATTTCATTTCGTCTTGTGTAATTGTTTATCTGGGTTCTACATCACTTATATAACTATTATTACATGTATAACAGTACATGTATATATATCAGGTTTTTTTTTAATCTCTGTGTTGACATTGGCATCAGTGTAACAACAATTTAATGTAGCTAAATCTCTTAACTCAATATCATCCAAAGTCTTACACGTTGAAAATACAAATTATTTGTCAATTCAAAGCAACATTGATGTTGTGATCTTACCAGGAGAAGGTAGGCGTCTAATATCCAATATTTATGACAAAATAAACATTTTACCATTGGTACACGAATCGTGTACCATATATGTAGTGCGTTTCAGCGTCATTTGTAAGAAGTGACCAGAAAGAACGAGGCTAGGCATATTCCACAACTCATGTCCCATGTCAAACGGTGACCCCATATCTTGTCTTGAGAGCATGCGCAATAGACTGAAATAACCAGACGTTAGAAATTGCTATTCGTTTGAGACTCATGCCATATTTCGCTGGATATAAATGATTTGAAATTAGAGTCAAAACTGAAACAATTGAATGTAAATCAGTTTATATACAATCAGATTACATTATTATATGCGTTGCGACCCATTTGGGTCAATTTCTAGGTCCCAAATATTAGCGACTTAGCTCCTTCAAACATTCACATTCAACAATATTTTACAAAGTTGATATGGTGTAAGTTAGTGTAACACCGGAGGAGAATTTGGCGTGGAAAGCAGTGCCACAGTGTACCCTTATTCCAACTGTCATGTTGTTTTACGTCACACAGCAACATGTACATGTAACCTTGGTTTTTTAACAACTAGACACCGTCAGGCCCTCCATTCTGTACCAGGGGGAACCATGTAAAAAACTTCAGAACTGTTTACAACAGTGCTTAGCTCTTCTTGGCTCGCACAAACATCAAATTGGAAGAGATTTTTATCGCTGTCCTCCAATGAAAATATCGCTCTCCTCACATTCTATGTATGGAATAGTCAAAAAATGAACCCCGCAATACTTCAATATAAATGAATCCTCAAATATTGTTAAATAAGAATTTTGTTTCTGGCCCTCAGCAAAATATCTCCCGATACTTTCGAAACTCTGTGATCGCTAAGGAAACATGATGAATCAAGTAAACAGATGTTTTTTATTATTTTTTTCAGTTGAAAATATTCTATTAGTAACCTATGTATATTGTATATTATGGCCAATCCAATCGAAAGTTTGTGTGAAAATAAAATAAAGTCGTTATCAGCTGTTGTAATTTTAGAAGAGCTTTTTATGGCTCCCCTTTGATTTTCAAACATGAAGCACTGTTTACAGTGTACTGTTGTATACATTGACGGAGCTGTGGTGCCCCCCCCCCCCCCAGTAAGATACATGTACGGACTAACTATCGAGGAGCCAAGAGGTCTTTGGTTCCCTCCCAAAGTTCTTCAGGACTTCACTTCATGGTTTCTACCTTGTCAGTGGTGCAGATACATGTAGGAGGGACTTTCTTTGTTTCTAGTCATTTGGATGGGATAAAAAAAGAAACATGAGGTCCATGTATACATTGGCGTACACATAAAAAAAAACCTTAACCTTGGAATTTGAAAAATGAGTAGTGTTGTTATCCGTCGAAATTTCCTTCATGCATGTAGCACACTGTATGGCTTATGCCTATCTTCATTACCGCAGTCAGTGCAGAACAATAGGACGTTACGAGCCATTTCATAAGTAAATCTTGCATTACACGTCATTAGTCAGTCTACGTGCAGGTACACAATCACATGTTATAATGTAAATCGTGACAATTAATGTGGTGTGATATATAAAAGAAATGATAATAGAATTCGATCAAGTTTCATAACCTGGTTATACAGTATATTTATAATAAAATCTATATACGTACATGTACATACAGACTAAATCACATATACATACCTGTATTAAAAACATTGATCGTAAAATTCATAAAACTTTAACATGCATTATATACATGTAAGGGCTAAATCTACCTATTGTAGGTCTTTCTTTATGCCTTACATGTAAATATAAACTATTAATTAATTAGACATTGGTAACCAGTTGGTAAAGGGCGAATGCCTGAAACGCGTCCTGGATAAATCCTTTTTATATCAACACAGTCTTGTCAAGTTTGTTATCGGGGATTTTTATACGCTGTGGGCGTATTTTTCGTTGCCTGGCAACCTATCTTTTAATTAGACATTTACATGTATTACCATGACAACACCATAATCAACTCTTGATGCCATCGGATCTGATATTTAGTAGATTAGAATATGTTTTGTTGTTGATGAAAAATACGTAAAAAATGGATAATTGAGACTTTGTTAATTATCATAAGAACAATGGTAATGACAATTGAGGCTAGACTATAAATTAACTCGGCGTTAAGTAATTTGATTGAAATTTTCAACATATTCTCTTTTCATCATCTAATTTGTAACTTATGATTTCCAAGTTGTACGAGACGATGAATAGGGTTGCCTGTCCAACCTCGTGGGTTTTCTCCGGGTCCTCCTGTTTCCTCCCACTGCTAAAGCCCCCTACGTGCAAGCGAATTATTGAAATAAAATTGAATCATGTGTTAATCTGGAAATGACCTTGTTTGTGTCAAGTGGACGTTAAACCCCATCTCTCTCTCTCTCTCTCTCTCTCCTCTGTAACTATGGCGATAACTGTCAACTTTTTATCTAATCATACCTAATGCCATTCAAGGATGATTTTTGAACATCCGATTATGGAGTAATCCACCAGCGAACCTGTAATGTAGAATGTACGGTCGAAGTTAAAACACTGACATCTGTTCGGGTGATTGAACATAAGGTTGATATGACCTCTTGTTTAATTATTGTTAGGGTTAGGGTTAGGTTAAGGATGATTGAACATGTTTAAGGTTGATCTCAAACTCCTGTTTAATTATTTCTAGGTCAAGGTCGTTGAATATATTTTCATGTCACTAATAGAACTTGAAGCTTTCAATTATCAGGGCTCGTTGAAAATAAACTTTAAATCTGATTGTAAAAAAAAATCCGGTACCAGTTTATGTTGCTGATCAAGTTTTTGATGAGTTTAAATAATTTAATCTAATCTTAATGTCCTACTTGCTATATTATTGTCCTTGATTCATTGGAAGAAGCGAGTTGGGTGGCTGAATGAATGTTTTAACATGTGCTTGTTTGATTATAAGGGCTGTCGTTGCGTCAAGCGATTTTGTTATTGAATCACCGGTTGAACGGGACAAGGAGTAGGACCACCTGTCCAATTATGGGTTTTATCCAGTTCCTCCAGTTTCCTCCCACTGCTAATAAAGACCCCTACTTGCAAGTGAATTGCTGAAATAAAATCGAACCATATGTTAGTCCCGAAATGACCTAGTTCATGTTGAGTGGACATTAGACCCCATCTCTCTCGCTCTCTCTCTCTCTCCTTTAATGAATTCTTTGCAAACTACAGTGTAGTGAAAGTTGAATTAGTAATGGGAATATTTCTCCATAAATGGTGTAAATTCCATTGATGGTCCTATTTTAAATTTTGTAGAATCTAATCCAGAAGATTATCTAGCATGTATTTTGATTCTGTTTTTATAATCAATTGACAATTTGAGTTCATACATAAATAAACATGTGAGAAATTTGATTAAATTCTGAAAATTCAAATCAGGCATTGTTACTTTAATTATAGACCTACAAAGATTATGAAAATTTGAAGGGACATGTACCTGCATACACAGATTATGCATTTGGTGTTAATAAAAGAAAAAAACTCATTGACTATTCATGATAAGAATAGAGTGATTATATCACACGATGTCAGATCACCTGATACATGCACATGTAGCATCATTGATAGATATCTATCTACTTTTTATTGAAGATTAATTTTTATTATGTAATCAACAGCCTCACAGTTAAATCATTATTTCCCTGTACATACATGTATTAGGTTATTATTACCTGTATCAGGTTATTATTACCCTGTATCAGGTCATTATTTCCCTGTATCAGGTCATTATTACCAGGATTTTTTTTAATTGACTGCCCGTCCTGACTGTAAGACATTATTTATAACATAACGTTAAATATCAGTACAATTTTATATCAGTACAATCTTATTACATTACATATCAGTACAATGTTATTACACAACATACATGTACCAGAACATTGTTGTTACACAACATATTAGTACATTGTTATTACACAACATATTAGTACATTGTTATTACACAACATAGGGATGAGAATTCAAGGTCCATTGTACACTGTACCTGTTGGTGTGCATGTAAAGAACACTTGACATATAGACCTTAAATACTGCTGCTGTCTCAGCCAAAATTGTATGAGATAAATATATGCCTGTCTTCATTAGCAAGGTCTAAATATGAAGGTCGCAAGGGCACGTGATTGTTGACAAGATCGTTGGTTAAAGGAGTTAAATCGCGAACAATTGGGACCTAGAAATTGACAAAAGTGGGTCACAACGCATATAATACTGTAATATGAATGTATTTAAACTGATTTACATTCACTGGTTTCCGTTTTTACTCCAATTTCAAATCAGTTATGTTCGAAGAAATAAGCCAGCAGTCTCAAGCAAGTGCAAATTTCTAGCGTCTGGTTATTCCAGTCTACATACACCGTTTGATTTGGTGCAATGTGTCTAGCCTCGTCCCTCGAGTCTCTTGATACAACTGGGGCTGAAGCGCATTATGGTACACGATTCGTGTACCAATGGTAAAATGTTTATTTTGTCTTAAATATTGGATATCAAAAGCCCATCTTTTTCCGGTAAGATCACAGCATGAATGTTGATTTAATTTGACAAATAAATCGTGTTTTCAATGTTGAAGATTTTGGATGATATTGAGTTAGAGACTTAGCTACATGTACTTTAAGGTTAGGTCTAGAGTTGTGGTTAGTGATAGCCCTGATTACATCTTGTATCCTTGACAAAATCTGCAGATAGCCTTAATATTTATCCCTGACCGTCTTCATCAGCCCAGTTGGTGTAGAAAAGTAGGACGATAAATCTGTTTTCATTTCATTTATATGGTACTGGATGACCCGGTGCTGCACGGGTTGTGCCTGTAACTCCGAAACCAGAAGTGGTAGGTCAACGCTACCTAGCCAATGTTACTCCCTGGTCCGAGGTACCCCTATACCTCAAATATCAGCTCTAGTGTAGCCGCCAACAGACAGACAAACAAACGACAGTCATAAATATTAGCATAGATTTAGATTTTACATTAAATATTTGTACATTTTTTGTTTTGTTTTCAGAACTGGAGAGATGATTTCCACGAATCTTTTGAAGAAACGCCTTTACTGGTGGCCATCTTAACATATCTAAGTTATGTGATTATTGTTGTCATCGGTTACATTCGAGATAATTTGCGATATTTGGGATTAGAAAAAGATAAATGTCTCAACGAACCTAAAATTGAGGTAAGTTTATTTTACTCTGTATATTTGTCAAGTCTAGCAATATCTCGCAGATCACAGAGAGTGTCAGACATAAATTTGCGCTGTTTGAAAGACAATTCTTCTGGTTTATTTAATTTTGTCTGGCACAGATTTGTCAGTGGTTTAGTTGATATTATAATACCAGAAGATGTCTGGCACATACATGTACATGTAGTTAAAGTTACAATTTCATATTTTCTAAGAAAGTCAAAACATAATTATTTCTATGTCTTTTGCTCAATAGGTTGTCAACTTCTTATTATACGATCATAGGTGTCATTCTCACACTTAAAACTCATTTACACTGGAAATAATAACACAATTACCTCCCTTGTTTTCTATATTCCACTATGGAGTAGTTACATGTATCTTCAAACGTTTGATTTTGATGATGAAAATGATATTTTTGGCAATTTCTCAACTGGCAATAGTAAATTATAGGATTAATAGGATTATTTTTTAACAAGGTAGGACTGTTTATAGATACCATCTATTTTAAGGCTTTATTTTAATAAATTTTAAAAATATGAAATTGCAACTTTAATAAAATGTCAGGAACTATTTCAAAAGGGCAAGGATTTCAATCCCCGAAGACTGTGATCGTGAGTCCTATCAATCAACTACTGTTTCCATTTCTGTCATAAGACTAATTACCGAATGGTTAGCATGTGCACGTTGTATCATAAGGTCTGTCATTTAATCAACTGGCGTGGTTTCAAATCCCCGGGTGTACGTGACAAGGAGTAGGGTCGCCTGGCCAACCTTGTGAGTTTTCTCCAGCTCCCTCTGGTTCCCCCCCCCCCCACAGTTAAAGATGCCTATGCCCTAGCAAATTAATGAAATAAAATTGAACCATATGTTAGTCCCAAAATGACCTAGTTTGTGTCGAGTGGACATTAAACCCAATTCTCTCTCTTTTACGTGCCAATTTGTTCAAGGAACCTAAGTTTTTTTTTGTACCATTCAAACGACTAGAAGTTATTCCTTTCCTTGGTCATTCAGATACATGAATGGGTAAGATGCTGACTCGCTAGCCTGGAGGTCGGGTGTTCGATCCCTGCATTGTCCGAGAAAGTTCATCCAGATTTTACGGCGTGGTTCTCCCTTGTCAGTGATGCAGGACGGAGGGGCTGACAAGAACAGTTGTCTAGTCTTTCGGATGGAACGAAAAACCGAGGTCCCGTGTACACATTGGCGTGCATGTAAAAGATCCCTTGACAGTTGGAATTCGGAATAAGAGTGGGCCGTAGTGCCGCTTTCCGGGCAAAATTTCCCTCATAGCACACTGTATATGGTGTATGCCAAACTTCATTAGCCCAGTTCGGAGCAGAATAGTAGGACATTAAACCCCTTTTCATTTCATTTGATTTACATGAACGAACATGTTTTTGTCAAGTGATTTAAATGTGGTAACCAGTGTATTATACGGTAGTGAAAGGTGTGTTTAACATTAGATAATGTAGTATAAAATAAATCAATACTATAAGAGTAGTATTTATTTAGTCTCTACTGTGGTAATCTTTGACATCTATTAATGTACCTTGTCACATGTACACCATTTATTATAGTTGTCTCAATATACCATTTATATACATGTAGGCCTTCATATTGTATCTCATACGTCCTGTATTTGTTTTGATACACCATTACAACAAAAGGGAATCGGTCCATCTACCACATAACCCTGTATTAATTCATTACAACTTATTTGGTGGGTGAAGGGGGGGGGGGTGATGTTGTGGATAATAACTTACTCTATTGACACTGCGACATCTCTCTCTCTCTCTCTCTCTCTCTCTCTCTCTCTCTCAGGACTCATTCTTTTCCATTAATACTGTGTTCTGTTAATGTGTTTCCCAATTACTTAATGCCACTTTAATTACTGTATAGATGTGATTTATCAGTTTAGATATGTTTTATCTGATTGTATAAATGTATGTTTTACCTGGTTACATACATGTACATGTATGTTTTACCTGGTTAGAAGTGTTTTACCTGGTTAGATACATTTTACCTATATGTATATGTAGTTAAATGTGTTTTACCTGGTTAGATGTGTTTGATGTTTTTAATGACAGTGTAAAACTGATGGTTATAAAATAGATAATCTACATGTACAACAGATGATATCGGATATAAAGCAAGTATTGATTAATTCAACTGTTGGTCTATTTACAATAGATCACCAACTGGTTAATTTCATTCAGTCAGTAATTGTACAAACATGTGACTTGCTATAGTATTAGGTTGTTTCTCTTCTAAAGAGCGTTACTAATTTTTCTAACCGCTGTTCGTAACACATAAATACGTCATCTCATGCTGTTAATACATGTAATTGAATGTCTTTTTATCTGCTTTCTTTATAGGAGCACGTTTCATTAGTTCCCCTGATTGTAGATTAAATATATTTTATGCACGAGCCAAATCTACATGGACATATTGCAAGTCTTTCTTTAGGCCTGAAATGTTGTATGAATTATTAATTGGTCATTTAGTAACATGACAAGACCATAATCAACTCTCGATGCCATCGAATATCTCTGAAATTAAACAGATTAAAACGGTTCAGCCATATTTGATTTAATCTAAAAATGGTGTTCAAAGCGAGACAAAGCTTCAAACAAACACATCTTGTCAAACCTTCAAAGAATAAAATCTTTGCTGAGATTAGAGTAATTTGAATGAAATTTTCAATATTGAACTATTATTGCCAGAATGGCCAGTTCAGTATCTTTAATCAAAGTACCAGAGATGAAATCATTCTAGAAATTAAATGAGATTTAGCAATTGACTTTACCTACTCTCCGTCGAATTTCAACGGTATGTGCTCACCAACAGGTATGTGCTCACCAACAGGTATGTGCTCACCAACAGGTATGTGCTCACCAACGTGTACACACAACCAAAGTAACTTTGTTTTAAGGAGAGCGATTTTATCGTAAGATCAATGAGGGATATCATTTGAGAAGATTCTATATGTTACGGAACTTCAATTTTCAGGATGTACATGTAAGAGAGAGAAATGGGATTTAAAGTCCACGTGACACAAACTACACTGTAGGTCATTTCGGGACTAACACATGGTTTAATTTTATTTCAACAATTCAAAGAAAACCCACGAGGTTGGACAGGCGATCCTAATTCTTGCCACGTACATGTACAACCGGAGAATCGAAACTACGCCAGTTGAATCAATGACAGACCGCATGATAGAGCCAACCCCCCTTGTCAGAATTTCTTAATTAACATGGTACGATACAGTTAGTAGGGGGGTTGGATGGCTGAATGGTTAGCGTGCGCGCGCTGTATCATAAAGTCTGATAGAGCCAACCCCCCTTGTCAGAATTTTTAAATTAACATGGTAAGATACAGTTAGTAGGGGGGTTGGATGGCTGAATGGTTAGCGTGCGCGCGCTGTATCATAAAGTCTGTCATTGAGTCGACTGGCGTGGTTTCGAATCCCCGGTTGTACGTGACAAGGAGTAGGGTCGCCTGTCCAACCTCGTGGGTTTTCTCCGGGTCCTCCGGTTTCCTCCCACTGCTAAAGACCCCTATGCGCAAGCAAATTATTGAAATAAAATTAAAACCATATGTTAGTCCCGAAATGACCTAGTTTGTGTCGAGTGGACGTTAAACCCCATTTCTCTCTCTCTCTCTCTCTCTCTCTCTCTCTCTCTCTCATGATACAGTTAGTATAAATAAAGAAGATATGCTGGACATAGACTGTATAATCAGTAGGACGATAATACCTGGTATTTGTCGATTAAAGGGGTTCATTGTAAACTAAACCTGTATTTATCTACTGTACTATACCAGTAAATAATATACCCCAGTTAATACAGGGACATACACCACAGTTGTTGATTAAATATTAGATTACATGAATTTACCTACTAATATAAGATTTGATATGATTAGGTGGAAAAGGTGACTTGCTTCCACCACGAGCAATGGAGGTGTGACACCTAATATGATACTATATCTACACTTGAACATACACAAGGGATTGGTGACTATTTGTATTAAAACACTACTTCATCTTACCCAATCTATCTAATAAATTCTACCACAAAGGACTAAAAAACCTACTTTATAACCCGGCCAGTAAATAATACTTTTTATTATCCATTAAATCATATGTGAGAGTATACAAATACCCTTCAGACTTCAGACCACATCATGTGTGAGCCACACATGTACTGTAGGTACATGTATACAAATACCCTTCAGGCTACATCAGTTTGATTTTCTAATATTTTGGGTCTGGGAGCCACAGTCACTAAATGAGTAAGACTCTAGCTCACTAGTCAGGAGGTCGCAGGTTCGATCTGGCGTGGTTCTCCCTTGTCAGTGATGCAGGAGATAGGACCTGACAAAGACAGCTGTCTTCATTAGCCCAGTTCGAAGCAGAACAGTATGACATTAAACCCTATTTCATTATACACCCACATTGAAATGTGGTTGTATATTGTCGTCGCCCCCGCACTCTCTAGAGGCTAAAGTTAATACACTGTATACGATTGACTTTAAATTTATAAACAGTTTTTAAGGTCATGAGACGAAAAAGCCTATTAATTTTCAGCGATTTCTGATAATTAATGCCAGAGTTATGGCCCTTGATCACTTCAAAAAATCTTGTAAATGCTCTAGAGGCTAAAGTTAATATCTGATTGACTTTAAATTTATACACAGTGTTTGAGGTCATGAGACGAAGAATCATATTGATTTTCAACGATTTCCGATAATTACTGCCAAAGTTATGGCCCTTGATCGCTTTGAAAAATCTTGTGACGCTCTAGAGGATAAAGTTATCATCTGATTGACACAGAGTTTAAGGTCTTGAGACGAACAAGTATATTGATCAGCTAAAATTCTAAATCCATGATGTTAAAAGTTTCGTATACTAAACGTTAGCATGGGGCAGAACTTTATAAAAACCAAACAAATTCTAATGGTTTTCTGATAATTACTTCTTGAGTTGTTACTCTTAATCAGATTTTAATGTTTTATAAATATTTCATTACCAAAAAAAGTAAAAATATGCAACAACTCTTGTTGACTGCCCGGACGATTTAGCTGCTGTTTCGTTGCTTGGCAACCTATCTTTTTATTGAGTAAGACGCTGGCCGGTGTTGGCCGAGAAAGTTTATCAGGATTTCCCAGCATGGTTTCCCCTCGTCAGTAATGCATGATTGAGGGCCTGACAAAAACAGCTGTCTAGTCGTTCAAATGGGACAAAAAAAAAACCCCGAGGACCTGTATATACATTAGCGAGCATATAAAGATCCCTTGGCAGTTGGAATTGGATATATGAGTAGGCCATAGCGCTGCTGTCCGGGCAAAATTTCCCTCATAGCACACTGTATGGCATATGCCCGTCTTCATTAGCCCAGTTTGGAGCAGAACAGTAGGACGCTAAACTCCATTTCATTTCATCTTCGTGGTCTTGATACATAAATACCCACTTGAATCGTGTGTGACCATCTCTGCCGATGGTTTATATATACAACAATTTGTCCTCGATACTTGAAATAAAAATATGATACTTGATATTATAAAGTGAAAAGCTGTCTCAGAAAGATTTAAATTTATTTTTAGCTTGTATAATTGTTCAGTATTCTATTTTGACTCTATATTTACACAAATATACTGAGTCAAAGGTTGACAGGTATCAAAGGTGTAACAAATTAAACCCTGCTATCTTTCTCCGTCAACGGTATTTACGTTTCATTGAAAGAAATTAAATGTTGTTTAAAGTCCAACCTTTCTACACTGACTGGGGTAATAACAACAGTTCATTGAAAAACCAACAGAATCTACATGTACTGAAGTTTATAGAATAAAATGAAATGGGGTTTAACATCCTACTGTTCGGCTCCGACTGGGCTAATGAAGACTACTACATACACTTTGCTAGCCCGGGACTGTACAGAGCAGTGAACGCTTACTGCTGCCCCCACCCGGATCCATTCACTTGATTTGATATTTGGGTTTTTTTTGGCAATGTCTACATGTATATTCTGTCTTGTCCCCATGTTATCTTGTAGATTTTGTTTTGCATGTAGTGCAGTCCCCCTGTACTTACTATACACAGTGCTATGAGGGAAATTTTGCTTGGACATCGGCCGATACGGCCTACTTTTATTTCTAACTAGAAGAATGCCCGGCTTCGCTCGAGGGTCATAACCCCGAAACCGGAAGTGGTAGACTAACGCCACCTGGCCTATGTTACTCCCCGGTCCGAGTTACCCCTATACCCCAAATTTCTGACTCGGGGCAGACCTAGTGTAGCCGCCAACCCCGAACAGACAGACATGGTATTATATCTTTTTGACATCAATTGTTTATGACAAATAAATACCCTTAATTTTCAATGGGATTACAGAAATAACAAGATTGTACCATCTGATAACTGTGAATACATTAGTAAAAGATATTCAAATGACAAAACATAACGTTACTGACCGACTGACATTTAGAGAAAATTGACCATGATAATTGTAGGAACAGATGTTATTTATTTATTTATTAATTTGATTGTTGTAGTAATCAATGTTATGTTACAAACTGATAGTCTAGAAGAATCTTGATTAAAACGGGGATGCCCAACCTTTTCAGCCAAGGAACCACAAAGCTTAACTCAGCCTGGGTGCCACACTGGACATTAAAAAACCAGCAATTCATTACCATTGAGGGAAGTGGTTGGCACAGATAGGCCATTATTATCTATATTAATATATTTGTGACTGTCTATTGTCTGTTCATGGTTGACAGCTACATTAGCGCTGTCCCAAGGCTGAAATTTGGTTAATGGGGGTACCTCGGTCTGGGGAGTAACATAGGCCTGGTAGCGAAGGACTACCACTTCCTGTTTCCAAGTTACATGTATTCTACATGTACTTCTGGTTCATGGCTATACCCGTTCTATATGCTGGGTCAACCGCTAGTTCGATATAAGAATAGGCGATAGCATCACTATCAAAATTCAGTAGGTGATAGTATCACTGTCAAAATTCAATAGGCAATAGCATCACTGTCAAAATTCAATAAACAATAGGGGATCACGGTGGCTAAGTGGTTAAGGCGCTGGCTCGCTAGCCTGGAGGTCGGGTGTTCAATCCCTGCATTGGCCGAGAAAGTTCATCCAGATTTTCTGGCGTGGTTTTCCCTTGTCAGTGATGCAGGACGGAGGGCCTGACAAGGACAGCTGTCTAGTCATTCGGATGAGACGAAAAACCGAGGTCTCGTGTACACATTGGCGTGCACGTAAAAGATCCCTTGACAGTTGGAATTCGATATAAGAGTAGGCCGTAGTGCCGCTGTCCGGGCAAAATTTCCCTCATAGCACACTGTATGGCGTATGCCCGTCTTCATTAGCCCAGTTCGGAGCAAAACAGTAGGACGTTAAACCCCATTTCATTTCATTTCATTTCATTTCAATAAACAATAGCATCACTGTCAAAATTTAATAGACGATTATCACTTTCAAAATTCCCTCTCATTACACTGTATGATTTATGCCTGTTAACACATTTGGTACACTACAAAGTAAGTAAGAACGGAAGGACCATGGTGTCTCAGTAACTACATGTAAGACATTGGCTCGATAACCTGGAGGTCCAGACGTTGTCGGAGAAAGTTCATCAGGATATTCCATCATGGTTCCCCCATGTCAGTTGTGCAGGACAATGGGCCTGGCAAGGGACAATGAATAGTCATTTGGATGGGAAAAAAGAGGTCTTGTGTACGCATTAGCATGCACATGAAAGATCCCTTGGCAGTTGGAATTAGATATAAAAATAGGACGGAATGCTGCTGTCCAGGCAAATTTCCCTCATAGCACACTGTATGGTGTATATAGCACACTGTATGGTGTAAATAGCACACTGTATGGTGTATATAGCACACTGTATGGTGTGTATAGCACACTGTATGGTGTGTATAGCACACTGTATGGTGTGTATAGCACACTGTATGGCATATAGCACACTGTATGGTGTACATGTACATAGCACACTGTATGGCATATATAGCCCACTGTATGGCATATATAGCACACTGTATGGTGTATATAGCACACTGTATGGTGTGTATAGCGCACTGTTTGGTGTATATACATGTAGCACACTGTATGGTGTGTATAGCACACTGTATGGTGTGTATAGCACACTGTATGGCGTGTGCCCGTCTTCATTAGCCCAGTATAGGAGCAGAACAGAAGAATGTTAAACACATTTCATTTAACTTGAACATGAACATCTGTTTGTTGTGAGTTTTATTTCTCTATAAGTAAATCAATATGAGTGAATAATATTGTCTGAAGAGAATGATTAGGGTTGTTAATACAGAAACAATGTTTCTTAATTAAAGATGATTACAATATATAATAATAAGCCATATTGATTGTACAATCATCATTATTTCTTTGGTTTTCACTTTCTTCTTTTCCTTCTGTGTGAAATTATATGAATTATTATTAGTTAATGAAGCTGTGAATGGTGTAGGAAGTGATGGTGGTTTATTATATAACCAATATGAAAGACTTAATGATTATATTAGTTTATCATTGATTACTATGTATTGAGTCATCTCAGTGAATATGGCAAGTTAATTAGAATACATGTATATGGGATTCAATTCTGGTATAGGCTGTGAAAGTTCCCTAAGGTTTTCCAACTCGTTTTCACTTGATCAAGTGATGCAGGGTCTGGCAGGTTTAAATCAGAAATAATAGTAGTCCTTAGTGTCAATGTCCCTCATAGCTCACTCCTGGCTTCATTAGCCCAGTCGGTGGAGAACAGTAGGACGTTTGACCCCATTTCCTTTGATCTGTGCAAATATACATACATGTAATCATTTTGAGGTGAAGTCTGTAGCACTACATGCCCTGGACTATGAAGAACAATGGACATTTACAGTTGCCCCTAAATCCATTCATTTGATTTGAGGGCCTGACAAGAGACACTGTTTAATGTAAGAGAACCCTTGCATTTGAAATAAGAGTACCGGTAGGCCATAGTGCTGCTGTCCAGGCAAAATTACACTCATTATGTAGCACACTGTATGGCGTATAAACCACATTTCGTTTCACAGTATATTGACCTAAATCTAAGAGGTTTACCGTACTTCCTTTAAGCTGTTATTAATATGATTCACATCCTGTTGATTGATTTCATCATACATGTACATGTAGTTGTGCAACCCTGATCACAATTATTTCATTAGGCCAATCACAATATTTCATGTTGTGGATTATGTTGTCATTAGGCCAATCACAATATTTCATGTTGTGGATTATGTTGTCATTAGGCCAATCACAATATTTCATGTTGTGGATTATGTTGTCATTAGGCCAATCACAATATTCCATGTTGTGGATTATGTTGTCATAAGGCCAATCACAATTATTTTATGTTGTGAATCACGTGCCAAATGCTTCCAGTTCCCCATTGATTGATATAAAGATCTAATGTTTATTATATGCCCACGTAGTTTTTATTGGATTTGTTTCAATGTTGGTGTAAAGTATCGATATTCATTGTTCCATGATCTTTCATTCCGGAGTTAACTCCCTTCCATCAATATGTTGCAAACCGCGACAAAGGCTACAGTTTTTAACAGATTTGTTAATGCTTGCAAATGCAACAGAGGTTTCTGTTTTTCTTTCAGATGAGTTGCTGTCGAGACATAGCTGTTGTTTCGGCATATTTCCACACCCTGCTTGAATGTTGATTGTTTATAAATATTGGTTATTAACTATGCACTTTGATGTATATAATTATATTTAGGTATTTTTTCTATATTTTTCAGGGATTTGTACCTCTATATCAAAGTTGGGAAAATTTCTATAAGAGAAATATGTATAATAGAGTGGGGGATTGTTGTAATAGACCAATAGGAAGTATAGCAGGGGCCTATATGGATGTACTAGAGAGAGATTCAGAAGATTTCAATAGAACATTAGAGTAAGTTTTATTATTGTAACAATAACACATAGGAGGGTAATGGAACAGCTACATCTGTTGTATGTTGGATTCACCTCCCTCCACATTGATACCAGTATAGCAGGGGCCTATATGGATGTACTAGAGAGAGATTCAGAAGATTTCAATAGAAAATTAGAGTAAGTTTTATTATTGTAACAATAACACATAGGGAGGGTAACGGAACAGCTAGATTCACCTCCCTCCACATTGATACCAGTATTTATTACACCAGCCTGTGTAAAACAATTTACTCAGGTAAAAATAATCTGTGTCATCAGACTGTCCGAGAGACAGACAAATGAAGCACTAATATAACACTGCTTTTTCACTTTACAGACGCTAAACTATGTTCAGATTTTAACGTATTGAATTTATCTATGGATCATGGGTAATGACGCATTTTATTTTATCAAGTTTGTCTTGGCTTTATCAATTGATTTACATTTCCCAAACTTATAGCTACATTATCTCTATTTACTGCACACATGTGAACAGTAGCGTCCAATCAGAGGATGTGACACAAACACACTTAAATCAAATATAGCAACCCCCACGGAAACCTTGACATTGAACAAACCTTGAACTTTGCAACTCGATCATCACAGGTAGACAATTTAGCCGGAAAGGGCGAGACTTGGTATTCGCGATGAATGAGGAATCTGATAGGCTCTTAGCTGGGTAACCGTCTTCAATTAGCCCAGGTTAGGTGCAGAAGAGTAGGACGTTAAACCCCATTTCATTTCTTAGCTGGGTAAATACCCAATTGAAATATGCAGGGAATTATGTGAAGGCCTTGCTAACACGTCCGGAGTTAAAGCAAGGTCATAGCTTCTATTGAAGATGGGGATCACGTGGCTAAGTGGGTAAGACGCTAGCTCGCTAGCCTGGAGGTCGGGTGTTTGATCCCTGCATTGGCCGAGAAAGTTCATCCAGATTTTCCGGCGTGGTTCCCCCTTGTCAGTGATGCAAGACGGAGGGCCTGACAAGGACAGCTGTCTAGTCCTTCGGATGAGACGAAAAACTGAGGTCCCGTGTATACATTGGAATGCACGTAAAAGATCCCTTGGCAGTTGGAATTCGATATAAGAGTAGGCCGTAGTGCCGCTGTCCGGGCAAAATTTCCCTCATAGCACACTGTATGGCGCATGCCCGTCTTCATTAGCCCAGGTTAGGAGCAGAAGAGTAGGACGTTAAACTCCATTTCATTTCATTTCATTTCATTTCTATTGAAGATGATCTTCATTAGACTTGATGATGCAGAAGAGGAGGGAGTTGGATGGCTGAATGGTTAGCATGCGCGCGCTGTATCATACGATCTGTCATTGAGTCAACTGGCAGGGTTTCGATTCCACGGTTGTACGTGACAAGAAGTAGGGTCGCCTGTCCAACCTCGTGGGTTTTCTCCGGGTCCTCCGGTTTCCTCCCACTGCTAAAGACCCCTACGCGCAAGCGAATTATGTAAATAAAATTAAACCATATGTTAGTCCCGAAATGACCTAGTTTGTGTCGAGTGGACGTTAAACCCCATTTCTCTCTCTACCTCTATTCCATTTCGACATCGGACAGCCTGATTGTTACAAAACTTGTTGATGGTGCCTAATGAAGGCTAGAGAAACCTAGTTAAAACCTGTTTAATTATATTTATTTATGGTGATTATATATTTTTAATTTTAGATTAACAGGAAAGAAAATACCTGCTATGAATTTTGGTTCGTATAATTATTTGGGATTTAGTGAGAATGATGGACCATGTGCTGCTACTGCTGTAGAGAGAACAACGACTACTGGTATTGGTGTTTGTAGTTCACGACAAGAACTAGGTAGGTTGTACTCAACATTCACAGAACATCATCCTAGCTACTGATCCTAGAATTTAACGGCAAAGAAAAGAGCTGTAGCACCCACAAGAACTGGTTGCGTTCAACTCCACGGCTAACCATTCACACAAATTAATACTGATCTTCTGATATGAAGGCAACTTAAAGGTTTAAGGGGCTGGGGTTTTATAAGGAGCTGTGGTTTTAGGGTGTTTAGGGAGCCGTGGTTTTAGGGTGTTTAGGGAGCCATGGTTTTGGACGGTTTCTTGCTGTCCATGATATACTAGTATAATCTCAATCAATAGTCTTTAATTTTATTAGAGGAACTGGAGTAATAGATATTTTAACATGTACCAATTGCCAAAGGGTTTATATCACAAGATTCGCGTGGTTTACTGGGATATAGGGGCCAGTAGTTTCAGACTGTCCAGTGATTTATCAGTATCAACTGAATCCCGTTTCTGTAATGCTTTTCCATTTTGTGGGGTGGGGGGTACATCATTTTGTGGGGTGGGGGGTACATCATAAGATCTGGCATGGAGTCAACTGATATAATTTCGATATAACCTCATGGGTGTTCTCCGGTTTTCTCCCACTTCCCCAATACACAAGCGAATTATTGAAATAAAATTGAACCCTGTGTTAGTCCCAAAATGACCTAGTAATGTGTCAAGTGGACGTTAAACCCAATCTCTGTCTCTCTCTCTCTCTTCAATATTGATATGTACCGGGAACCAAAGGGTTAACATCAAAGTGAAGGATTCTGTGTGCTAGAGCGTTAAGAGTCTGTTGTATTTTTTATTTTTAGGTTATTTGGAAATTCACCGAGAATTAGATTTATTAACAGCAGAGTTTCTGGGTGTTGAAGATGCTATTACGTTTCCGATGGGTTTCGCTACAAACTCCATGAATATTCCCTGTTTCATGGAACCGGTGAGTTGTATGGACTTCAAGGGGACTATCTACGGCCAATTTGGTTCCGGAAAACATATGGGCTCACAAATTATTTTACGCCCAAATTCTACGCTGACCAAAGTCAAAGGATAGAGATGTTTATTCTTTATTTATTAGGGGTCACAGTGGCTAAATGGGTAAGACGCTGGCTAGCTAGCCTGGAGGTCGGATGCCTGCATTGGCCGAGAAACTTCATCCAGATTTTCCGTCGTGGTTCTCCCTCGTCAGTGATGCAGGACGGGAGGGCCTGACAAGGACCGCTGTCTAATCGTTCGGATGGTATGAAAAACCGAGGCCCTGTGTACACATAAAAGATCACTTGACAGTTGGAATTCATTATAAGAGTAGGCCGTAGTGCCGCTGTCCGGGCAAAGTTTCCCTCATAGCACACTGTATGGCGTATGCCCGTCTTCATTAGCCCAGTTTAGGAGCAGAACAGTAGGCTGTTAAACCCCATTTCATTTCATTATTTATTACCAATATCTGTTTTTTTCAGGGTTGTCTGTTATTTGAGATGAGTTATTTGTGTTTTTCAGGGTTGTCTGTTATTAAGTGATGAGTTATTTGTGTTTTTTCAGGGTTGTCTGTTGTTAAGTGATGAGTTAATTGTTTTTTTTCAGGGTTGTCTGTTATTAAGTGATGAGTTATTTGTGTTTTTTTCAGGGTTGTCTAAGTGATATATTTGTTTTTTCAGGGTTGTCTGTTATTAAGTGATGAGTTAAATCATGCTTCGCTAGTACTAGGGTCTAGATTAACAGGTTCAGCCATTAAAGTATTTAAACACAACAGTAAGTTTCTTAAATCCTACATCCACATGGAATTGTGGTCACCAAATATATCCATCCGTCCATCTGTGCGTTCGTCACCCACATGGAAATAAGGTCATATATTGTAGTCGCCTCTCTTCGTCCATCCATCCATCTGTCCGTTTGTCACCCACATAGAAATGAGGTTGTATATTGTAGTCAACTCTATTCGTCCGCCATCCGTCTGTCCATTCTTCACCCGCAGTGAACAGACTACAATTATCTTACAATCTTTTTAAAAATTGTATGCATTATTCAAAGAAGCCTTTTGAATTTTAAAATTTTCTGTTAATATAAATGGAAGATCTGGATAGACAGATTGACAGTGTGACCGTGGTTACCTTGTATTCCTTCTATTGTAGATATGGAGGATTTGGAGAAGAAGCTAAAAAATGCTGTTGTAGAAGGTCAGCCCAAAACACACCGACCTTGGAAAAAAATACTCATAGTTGTGGAGGGAATTTATAGGTTAGTTTTCTTATCTTAACTTCAGGCATTCATTGTTTCCGGGGAATGTGACTACTTTGCATACTGTAGGCATTCATCGTTTCCAGAAATGTGACTGCCTTGCACACTACAGTTAGACATTCATCGTTTTCGGGGAATGTGACTGCCTTGCACTCTACGGTATTATGAATTTTGAATCTCTAAATGAAATGTATGTCCAAAAATAGTTTAATTTCATTCAGTTTTTACAAAGATATGATGAAACAAATAATTCACAACTTTCAGCATCATCGGCAGACGATATTAACAAGCCAGTGCCATCTATAAATGTTTGCTTAAATCTCTGGGAGAATATCTACCGTTGATTTTGGCTGGTTGGATGACCGAATGGTTAGCGTGTACATGTTGCATCATAAAGTCAGTCATTGAGTCATGAGGCGTGGTTTCGATTCCCTTGTTGTACGTGACAAGGAATAGGGTCGCCTGTCCAACCTTGTGGGTTTTCTCCGGACCTCCGGTTTCCTTCCACTGCTAAAGACCCCTACACGCAAGCGACTTATTGAAATAAAAATAAACCATATGTTAGTCCTGAAATGACCAAGTTTGTGTGGAGTGGACGTTAAACCCCATCTCTCTCTCTGTATTGATTTTGTTTCCATACATAAATGTTAAATAATCAATCCGAGTATTAAGTCATAAAAATTTAGATATTGTTCGAAAAATGCCAGACTTGTATTAAATAATCAATTTGTACATTATAGCTTGTGATTATTCGTGAAATATTAAGTATATTTATCGGGGGATAAGAAGGAAAGTATCATGGAGACGAGAGATCTTTATAGTCGTGTTTATTTACTTAGCTACAATAGTCAATTTACATCTGTGAGTCGATGTTACCTTTTTGTGATCTAAGGGGAGATAATATGATAAGGTGTTAAGAGCTAGTTGCCTCCCCTGAATAGTTGTGTATTAAGTTATAAAGAAAGATGTTGTAAGGCCTTGTATAAGAAATAAGATGGTTCTCCTATCACCCATGGTGGAAGTGGACATAAAACTCTAGGAACCAACCATCTGATACAAATAGTCTACGATATCACCTATGGTAGAAGTGGAGGTAACTCTAGAAACGAAATGAAATGAAATGGGGTTTAACGTCCTACTGTTCTGCTCCTATCCTGGGCTAATGAAGACGGGCATACGCCATACAAAGTGCTATGAGGGAAATTTTGCCCGGGCAGCAGCACCATCGCCTACTCTTATATCGAATTCCAACTGCCAAGGGATCTTTTACGTGCATTCCAATGTATACACGGGACCTCTGTTTTTTGTCCCATCCGAACAACTAGACAGCTGTCCTTGTCAGGCCCTCCGTCCTGCATCACTGACAAGGGGAAACCACGACGGAAAATCAGGATGAACGGGCATACGCCATACAAAGTGCTATGAGGGAAATTTTGCCCGGGCAGCAGCACCATCGCCTACTCTTATATCGAATTCCAACTGCCAAGGGATCTTTTACGTGCATTCCAATGTATACACGGGACCTCGGTTTTTTGTCTCATCCGAAGGACTAGACAACTGTCCTTGTCAAGGCCCTCCGTTCTGCACCACTGACAAGGGGAAACCACGTCGGAAAATCCAGATGAACTTTCTTGGCCAATGCAGGGATCGAACACCCTACCTCGAGGCTAGCGAGCCACCGTGGCTCCCTCTAGAAAGGAAGATCTGATATAAGAATGCTATTTATGTTACCAATCATAGATGAGACAGTAGTTTGACAGACTCTCTCTCTCTCTCTCTGGAGTCACCTACATGTGTATATTAAACTTAGGCTATGTGTCTACAGCTTGAGAACAGACACTAAAGTTAACCAGCATTTTAAGTCCTTAAGTATACTTCGAGAATTTTGTTAAGTATTGATTCCGTTTCCATTTAATAAAATTGAAATGATTTATTTAGTCCTTGTATGTAAGGCTGACCTTAAAAATATCTTTGTTTCGCCTAACGCGACCGACTGACTAAAACCACCCCCGACTTAAATTATTTTATTGCACTTTTCCACGATCTTTTTATTTTATTTTGTGTGTCAACCTGAAATATATCACGAGAGTTATTTCCCTTTACTATTGCTATGGTTTCATTCATTATTGAAACTGGTTGATCAAGACGAAAGCGTCATAGGTGTCGCTTCTCAACAAAATGGTTGCAGACGAAAGCACATCCATTCCCACGAAATGATTCTGCCTCTATATCTGTGGGCGTCGTTTTAAACATGACGACGATATTTTTAATATTCGTTTTCGAGAAAAATGAAGGCACAACCCGCACGATCGTTAAAAACGTGTTGAAGGAGTTTCACACTTCAAGTTCGTAGCAAATCGTGTGCGAGTCGTGCATCACGAAAAATCCCGATGTCATTGATTTGTTTGCCAATAAAGAAGACGAATGTTTCCACCCGGAAAATTATCAAGCTGTCAAATTAGCTCTTAAGTTTAATAAAAACTTTAAGTTCGTTACTTTTTACGTCAGACCCAAAATTCATTAAACAAAATTAATGAATCTGTAGTATACAGCTAATAAGTTTTCTGTATTGACTTTAAAAAAAAAATCTGAAAAAAAACCGACCTACCGACCCTTCTCCTCGATTGTGGGTCGGGTTTGGTGAAACAAAGATATTTTTAAGGCCAGCCTAAGGCAGATGTGTACCGGAATAGAACCCCATTACGAAACAGTATACTCATTTTTGGGTTTCGCCGCCAATTTAGGGCAAAGATATATTCTCAAAGCATGAAATAGATGGATCTCTGTGTGCCTAGGGCTAAATCTATTTGTTACGGCCAGCTCAATTTTTATCAAGGTCGCTGAGATGTTAATAAGGTTAGGGCATGTGATTGTTGTGGAGATTTAGGGTTAGAGTAAGCATTGGGGCTAGGTCCAGGGTTAGGATTAGGATTGGGATTAGCACTAGCCCTGTTTACATCTCGTGACCTATGACCAAAAATTGAGCTGGCCTTATCATTGAACACTAATCATGTGCCTACTCTGGCACTCAAAATTGCTCACCTTATTGTAACTCAAATATACCCCTTTATAAAACTTTTGTTATTTTAATGTATCAAATACATCAATAAGAAACTATGTGTAAAGTTTTGTGTTTCTGGATCAAAGATATTTCTCATAATTAGTGATTGAAAGTTGAGTAAATTCTTAACTTAAGTCTGATAATGCTTTGTGTACTCAGGGCCTGGCTTCAACTAATTGTGTCGGATGATTGGTCAAGATGGAATAGGATCACCATAGATAGTCTCCTGATTTTGTTTTTGATTTTTTTGTTTCAGTATGGAAGGGTCGATAGTTTGTCTTCCAGAGATTATACGACTCAAGAAGAAATATAAAGCGTACGTGTATTTAGATGAGGCTCATAGTATCGGTGCGTTGGGACCGCGGGGTCGTGGGGTCACAGATTATTTTGGTATTCATCCATCTGAGATTGATATTATGATGGGAACGTTTTCCAAAAGTTTTGGTGCATCTGGTGGATATATAGGGGGTTCGAAGGTAGGTAATATTGTTATATAGGGGGTTCGAAGGTAGGTTAAACATACATTCTACAAGAGATAAATCTGTCTATTGCAGGTCCCCCACCCCCACCCCCACCCTGCTGGGGTGTAGGGGGTTAAACATACATTATGCAAGAGCTAAATCTGCCTATTGCACTTCTTTTTTTCAGCCTTCAATCTTATCTAAATTATTAATTGACCGTAATTAACATGAAAAGACCGTAATTAACTCTCAATGTTATTTTATGTGTCAGATTTTCACTGGATTTGAATCTGATCTGCTGCTCGGCACTCATTGATGATTAAATCTAAAAATGGATAGTCAAGACTGTTTTTTATCTTACCGACTTTAGTAATGATGATCGAGTCTTTGCTTAAAATGCAAAAGCTAATATCTCAGTTCTTAGTAGAGAAATTTGACTAAAATTTTCAGCATGTTCTATTTACGTTATCTATTTTTTAACTATTATAGCGAGAACAATCAACTCTTTATCTAATCTCCCATAATGCATCTTTAAATATTGATTTGATATTTGTTGTTTATATCTTGCGATATCGTTTGTCTTGTCCACAGATGTGGGGGATTGGATGGCCAAATGTTGTATCATAAGATCTGTCATTGAGTCAACTAGTATGGTTTCAATTCCCCAGCTTTACGTGACAAGGAGTAGGGTCACCAGTCAAACCCGTGTGGGTTTTCTCCGGGTCCTCCGGTTACCCCCCCCCACCCACTGGTAAAGACCCCAATTATTAAGCAAATTATTGAAGTAAAATTGAACCATATGTTAGTCCCTAAATGACATCGTTTGTGTTTAGCAAACATTAACCCTATTTCTTTCTCTCTATTTGTCAGCAGTTTTGTCTTGTCCGTAGATTTTGTTTACTTGTTGTCCTTCTGCATTACCTCATGGTTGAAACGGGTTTTCTTCGGGTCCTGGGGGGTTGGATGGCTGAATGGTTAGCGTGCGCGCGCTGTATCATACAGTCTGTCATTGAGTCGACTGGCGTGGTTTCGAATCCCCGGTTGTACGTGGCAAGGAGTAGGGTCGCCTGTCCAACCTCGTGGGTTTTCTCCAGGTCCTCCGGTTTCCTCCCACTGCTAAAGACCCCTACGTGCAAGCGAATTATGTAAATAAAATTAAACCATATGTTAGTCCCGAAATGACCTAGTTTGTGTCGAGTGGACGTTAATCCCCATTTCTCTCTCTCTCTCTCTTCGGGTCCTCCGGTTTCCTCCCACTGCTAAAGACCCCTACGCACCATTGAATTATTGAAATATAACTGAACCAACTAACATCCCCCGTGTTGACAGCAGAAGTTGCGCTACATCAAGTGACATCAGTGATTGAGTAAGTTTGTTTTGTTTTCAGGCTATGGTAAATTATCTTCGTGCTAATTCGTATTCTATTGTATATTCGTGTTCGATGTCTCCACCTGTAGCACAACAAATCATCAGTTCTATGAGAACTATCATGGGAAAGAATGGTAATAATGATGGTAGGTACAACTAACAAAATACGATTTATATGTGACAATATATGTCTGATCCTCGGATCTATTCACTAACAAAAGACGGTTTATATGTGACCATGTATGTCCCATCATCCAATATATTGACTGATATTTCTATGGTAGATACAACTAAAGAAATACGGTTTAGTTTTAGATCTAACTATATTTTAAAGTCTCCTTGTGACATTTAAACACAATAGGAAGCCCTAGCAAACTACGATATTGTGAAAGATGAAAAGATGAATCTCTAATAGGAATATCAGTTCGACAGTGGTTCAATTACGTTCAGTTTTTACAAGGATTTGATCGATCTATGGTGCTCACTATGTAAAAAGCCTACCGTCATTTTGTTGTGAACAAACAAGTACGATGGACGTGATTTAAATCCGATCGGGAGATTATCTAGGAGTGATATTTTGATTTTGTTAAATAATCAATAAGTACATATTAGCGTGGATAATACTCTTGTTGATTTCTGGAACTGTGTGATATATATACAGGTGATAATTCTATGGTATATAATTACTGAGCCACCTTTCGACTAGCAGTAATAAGCTGTAATTGTATTCCATAGAATTGTGACTTGTATACACCAGTTTTCCGACGTGGTTCCCTCTTGTCAGTGATGCAGGACGGAGGGCCTGACAAGGATAGCTGTCTAGTCCTTCGGATGAGACGAAAAACCGAGGTCCCGTGTATACATTGGAATGCACGTAAAAGATCCCTTGGCAGTTGGAATTCGATATAAGAGTAGGCCGTAGTGCCGCTGTCCGGGCAAAATTTCCCTCATAGCACACTGTATGGCGTATGCCCGTCTTCATTAGCCCAGGTTAGGAGCAGAACAGTAGGACTAGAACTCCATTTCATTTCATTTCATTTCATTTGTATACTCCAGTTCAATTACTAAATGCCATTGAAACAATTTAAATTTGTGTAAAGTGTGTCTTGTCCGTGGGTTATATTCTTGGATTTCTAGGAGGGACAGGGCTGTTGAAAGTGGTGTTCAAGAAACCTCAACTCTAGGGGGCATGATAGTAGATATTTATTTCATGGTTGTAAAAGATTTTGTCATGATGGTAAATATTTTGTAGGATTAAGAAGAATTCGTCAACTAGCGTGGAATACCCGTTATTTTAGAAGGAGATTGCGTGAATATGGTTTTATTGTATACGGTAATAAAGATTCACCTGTAGTACCTATTTTAATATTTTATCCAGCTAAAGTCGCGTAAGTTTTTAATTTTATTACATCATCGTTTGTTATAACGGTGGCACTGACTCGCTAACCAGGTCTTGTGTTCGATCCCTGGGTTGGTTGACAAAGTTTCCCTGGAATGTTCCAGTGTGGTTTCCCCTTGTCTATGGGTACTGTATCATAAAGTCTGTCATTGAGTCAACTGGCGTGGTTTCGAATCCCTGGTTGTACGTGACGAGGAGTAGGGTCACCTGTCCAACCTCGTGGGTTTTCTCCGGGTCCTCCAGTTTCCTCCCACTGCTAAAGACCCATACGTGCAAGCCAATTATTGAAATAAAATTAAACCATATGTTAGTCCCAAAATGACCTAGTTTGTGTCGAGTGGACGTTAAACCCCATTTCTCTCTCTCCCATTAGCCCAATGGTGTAGTTTTGTTTGAATGAGATGAGATCAGGATTCTCGATCACGAGTGGCCTTTTTTGACAAGTTTCTTGGCTAACACCTTGTCTGTGGTATTATCCTTGACCAACACCTTGTCTGCGATATTATCCTTGGCCAACACCTTGTCTGCGGTATTATCCTTGGCCAACACCTTGTCTGCGGTATTATCCTTGGCCAACACCTTGTCTGCGGTATTATCCTTGCTACAAGTGGACTTTAATCCCGATATTACATCATATATATGACAGATGACCTGGGTTGGAAAAGCGTTGGGTTGTTTGGATGAGACAGGAGCCGCGGTGGCTCAGTGTGTCAGGCATTGTTCACTAATCATGAGGTTCTATCCCCCTGTTTGCCGATAAAATACCTCAGGACAGGGGTTTTGAGCGTGATTCCCTCTTGTCAGTGTTGCAGAATGGTAGACCTGGCGGGGGATCACGTGGCTAAGTGGGTAAGACACTGGCTCGCTAGCCTGGAGGTCGGGTGTTTGATCCCTGCATTGGCCGAGAAAGTTCATCCTGATTTTCCGGCGTGGTTTCCCCTTGTCAGTGATGCAGGACGGAGGGCCTGACAAGGACAGCTGTCTAGTCGTTCGGATGGGACGAAAAACAGAGGTCCCGTGTACACATTGGCGTGCACGTAAAAGATCCCTTGGCAGTTGGAATTCGATATAAGAGTAGGCCGTAGCGCCGCTGCCCAGGCAAAATTTCCCTCATAGCACACTGTATGGTGTGTGTCCGTCTTCATTAGCCCGGACGGGCAGAACAGTAGAACGTTAAACCCCATTTCATGAAAAACCAAGGTTCATATCACATCAATTCTGACTTAAAAGCAAACTCTTCATGAGAGTTACTTCCCTTACATAAAATAAATGAATTGTTTGTATATTTTGTATATTGACCAGTGATTTAGGGTGTAACTGTTGTATAATTTGTATATTTAACAGGGCTTTGGAGCGTAACTGTTTATCATCAGGTTTAGGTATTGTGGTAGCTGGATTCCCTGCAACTACGATTATAGAATCTCGATCTCGACTCTGTCTTTCAGCAGCTCATACCAAAGAAATGCTGGACAGGGTGAGTATGATAAGCATCTATAGAATTTTATATTGGTTCACTCACTTGGAGGCCCTGTGTTCATCAAGATTTTCTGACGTGGTTTCCTGATTGTGGTGCAGGGTGGAATGCCTGGCAAGGAGAGTGTCTAGTCACTCAGATGTGACAAAAAAAAACCAAATGGCATGCACATAAAAGAACCATTAAGAGTTGGAATTTAAATTCAGAGTCACAAATATTATTATAGATTAAATTATATGTTTGTTTTGTTTCAGGCTTTAGATATTTTGAATCAACTAGGAAATGAATTAAAATTAAAATATTCTAGATTAAGTCGAGTGGCCGAGTTCCGTGAAGATGATTCTATACTAATTACAAGTTAGATTAACGAAGGTAAATAATCTTTATATAAAAGTTGCTAATTACAAATTACATTATCTTAGGTAAATGATATGCTAATTACGAATTACATTATCTGAGGTAAATTATTAATCTTCATAAATGCTAATTACAAATTAGATTAACGAAGGTAAGTCTTCCTATAAAAGCATGTCAGATGGTACTGAAGTTTAAATGATCAAACAGTTTACCTAATTATGCGTTTCGGAGTCAAATTCAGAAAAATTTATTTACAAGACAGACGACTGAGTTTTTTAATCATTGATGGCTGAATGACTAGCGCGTGGGCGCTGTATCATAAGGTCCGTCATTGAGACAACTAGCGGGGTTTCGATTCCATGGATGTATGTGACAAGAGGTAGGGTTGCCTTCCAACCTCGTGGATTTTCTCCGAGTCCTCCGGTTTCCTCCCACTGCTAAAGACCCCCTGCGCACAAGCAAATTATTGAAAATAAACTTAAACCATATGTTAGTCCTGAAATGACCTAGTTTGTGTCGAGTGGATATTAAACCCAATTTCTCTCTCTCTGTTAAGAATTTACCTCCCTTTTCCTAAAACCTTATGAACACAATGACAGCTATATTATTTAACAAGCTTTGCTTGGCTATCTTTTATAAAATGTATAAAATTATTTAATCGTTTATATTATTTTTTTATTTCAGTTTAACATTCAGTAAATATTATTTTTATTGAAGCTTCTGTGAAAAATATATAGAAATATAATATTGTAAATAAACTCGCGGAAATCTACGTTTGATAAAGAACTATATGTAACAAAATCGTACCAGGAATGAGAAGACCTAGTTGAACACAGTGTTAACTTTAACAAAGTTCCTGTGGTGAAGCATCCAGTCTTTGAAGTTTGAATTAAAAGAATAACAGTTGTACAGATATTAATATATTTTGATGGGAACAACAACATCAACCCTAAATTAAATTATGTTATAATACTTTGGAATAACTGGCCGAAAAATTATCGCTAAATTTACTACGACCAGCTACGATTCTCTCAGAGAAATTGAGCTTTATAGCAGGGCTTTTGTTTTAACCATATTTTCTAGTCGTAACTGACTGATAGTGAAATTGACTGACTGAAAAACTTTATTAGTCAATTTACATGAAATAGAATTTCAATTTCTTTTTTAATATTTTTATTCAGGTTGTCTGAATGGGATCAAGGAACAGGCTTAGCCTATGTAAAACCCCTCTCCCTGAATAATAATTTATATATATATACATAATATAAAAGAAGAAAGGGGTGTATATATACATAGATAAAATAGCAAACACATACAAATTTCTATTTCAAAGGATTTAGCCTTAAAACCCACTTAAATTTATAGCTTCTGCTAAAACTTATCCAAAAAAAAAGCCCCGCTGTAAAGTTTAAATTTTTTATTGAAATGAATGAATGTTGTTATGGAAGTCTTAGAACAACTTAATACCTAAAACCTGAAATGGAAATTTATGAGGTCATCTTCCAGAATTCTCGAGTTGACATGGTAAATCTGTGCACATACTTTCTGTAATTCTTGCAAATATTTAGTCTTTAAAAATGGACTGTGAGAAAATGAAAAGACAAAATAAGACCAACCTAGTCATTGCGTGTAAATGAAATTTATCAGAGTATAAACTGGTCTTGAGAAATCTGTCTAGATAAAAGATTTTGTTCACTTGTTTGCAGGCCTGGAAGTAATGGTGTTAGTTGTCTGTCTGGCACAAATGACCGGGTTCCTCACATTTTGAAATTTGTACCAGAAATGTATTATAAATATGTTTAAAAACTCAAAAACTAGTACAAGTCTGTGCCTGACCTGACAAACTTGAATTTGTGCCGGACATTGTCGGTGACATTTGCCTTGTTTCCAGGCCTGATTGATTTTATACGGTAAACTACCGATATGTGTAAATATATTATATATGATGATTGATGTGTCATGGCTTAATGAAATATTTTCATGCGTTCTTGCGTACTTCATAAACCAATCAAACAGAAACCATGTTATTATTATCGGTTATGTTATTTGTTAATATGACCATTAGAAAACCAATCAAACGAAACCATATTATTATTATTAATCATTATGTTATTAATATGACGTACAGTAGAAAACTGGAAGCCCACTTTAACTTGACTATCAGCAGTATTACTTGTAGTTTGATCCTTGTCCCAGGGTCATGAAATAAATCTTTTACTCGGTTTAAAAATGATAAAACTTTGATATAGTTTCAGGGTTGAGTCGCGAGGTTAACTAATATATGAATACTGCATGAGGTTGTTAAGCAACTTGTTAAAATATGCTAATCCAATATTTTCCACCATTTTGTATAAATAATATACAGCATATTGTGGTAACATATTTGAAATATTGCTGGACTGACGTCAATGGATGACGTCACATCTGTGTTTGGAACTCAAATATAGCATCATTCAATATGGAGGGTACTTGTCGACTCTTATCTTGTAACAAATTTCAGGAGCTGTGGATGTTTTATCGGTTTAAAGACGAATATTGATATTCTATCTTCATTAAAATTTAGTTGAAACATGAGCAATAAAAAAAAAAGTTTCATGGCCTCTGGTCTCGCTACAACAGGAATACAAGTCCGTGAACCTAAAATCAAAGTTTTAGTCATTCTTGTAGCCATCGGTTTCAAACTACCTTCTCAACCCCTCTTCCATATCATGCCTTGACAATTCATTATCAATGTAAACTTTTGTTTCATTGGACATTCCAGAAAATATGTAGCCAGTCAATTGGGCCGTCACTTTCAACTTTCTTAATGGGCTGTGTGATTAATAATTTGTCTCAATTATCCAGTATGTGCAATGAATCATAATGTAATCTGAAAGACTGGATATTCAGACATATGTATCTAAAAGCCGAGACATTTATATGTGTTCTACAATTTGATTAAAACACAGATCCTATTTCATTTCGTTTTTTCCGGTTTCCTCCCACTGCTAAAGACCCCTACGCGCAAGCGAATTATTGAAATAAAATTTAAAAAAAACACGTTAGTCCCGAAATGACCTAGTTTGTGTCGAGTGGACGTTAAACCCCATTTCTCTCTCTCTCTCTCGTTTCGTTTTTTATACAGTGGACTCTGTCAAATCCGACATCGTACGGGATCGTTACAATATGTCAGATTACGCAGAGTGTCGGAATATTCGGTTTTCTCAAAACCGGGAGTATTATTGTAACTTCAAAAACCGGAAGTAGTTTAAGATTTCATTTTACTTGTCTTCACAACAGAGAACATCGAAAGTATAAAAAAAAACAAAACGAAATATCGATCTGTATTTGAATCAGATTGAGGTGTTCTACACATGTTATGCCACGATGCCAGAAGTTAATTAATTTTCTGCAATGTCACCCTTGAAGGATGCGGACTTTAAGTCTTGCGAACGAACAAATTGGTTAATTAAGGATGTAGTTTGAAATGAAATGAAATGGGGTTTAACGTCCTACTGTTCTGCTCCTAACCTGGGCTAATGAAGACGGGCATACGCCATACAGTGTGCTATGAGGGAAATTTTGCCCAGACAGCTGCACTACGGCCTACTCTTATATCGAATTCCAACTGCCAAGGGATCTTTTACGTGCACGCCAATGTGTACACGGGACCTCTGTTTTTCGTCCCATCCGAACGACTAGACAGCTTTCCTTGCCAGCCCCTCCGTCCTGCATCACTGACAAGGGAGAACCACGCCGGAAAATCTGGATGAAGTTTCTCGGCCAATGCAGGGATCGAACACCCGACCTCCAGGCTAGCGAGGTAGCGTCTTACCCACTTAGCCACGTGATCCCCATGTAGTTTGAAACCGATGTGTGTAAGACTGAACCCGACTGTGTGCATAGACATGTGATCATGTTTGGGATTAAGGTAGATTTTTCTAAAAAATGCAGCAGGAACATTCATCAATCCGAAGGGCATCCAGCCAGTTGTAGTCTACAATACATATCGGTAATTCACAATTCCATACAGTTACATCCGAGAATTAAACTGAAACAAAACTTAGTTTGAATTTGTAATTGAAATTCATTTTCTTTTGTTAATATGTCAACTGTAGATTCCAGATAGCAAAAACTTTCAGACGCATGTCCAAAGGGAGTCCAGACCAGGGGATCCGGACACGCCCCTGTCTTAATTGTCTTCTCACAACAAAATGAACATTTTATTTTACTTGCTGAAGAAAGATACTATCAAGGCAGTAACAGAGTGAATGTTTTTTGCTATCTTAATCCAAGAATTGACATTTTAATTAAGAATTGTTAATTTTTAGGTTCGTAATTGTCCTAGTCGTTATATGAATATATCACAAATATTTTAACCACCATCTTTTGTAAAAAAAACAAACTATGATCATAATTTATATGTTTAATGTGAACCTTATAATTTATAAACCTTTGTATTATCACAAAACCATCTTTTAATACAACGACTTTATTAAAATCCACTGAACTTAAACTAGGTCATTTCAGGAATAGAGACATTGTGATATAAGATCCCCAGTTTACTTGTTGAACTACCCCTGGTAGATGGGAGTTTGCGGAAAAACCACTGTCAAGGCAAAATTCATTTGGGGACTAACACGTGGTAGATCTTGATCCTTTGACTATTCAGAGACATTGTGCGATAAAGCACATGTGTTAGATACCCAGTTTACATGTTGAAGAACTCCTGGTAGATAGCATTCAAAACAAGAGCCACTGTCAAGGCAAAATTCTCCTGTTTCAGAAAACGGTTTTTCTCAAGAAATGAGACTTCTTACTCAGACTTCCTAGGAAAATGGATCAAGAGAAGAGTTTCAATAAAAGTCAAAGTATTAAAATTCGGTTCGATCAATTGTTCCAGTGGTGAACTTTGATATAATTAGAACCATGAGACCTGAGTTTCCAGGAAAGTTTTGATAAAGTTGTTGTATTTAAAGAGATTGTAGGATATTTATTCCATTGTGTTGATTAGTTTCTAGGATTGTAAATAATTGTATATACCATGTCTTTATTATATATAAACAGTTACTATCATCGCCATCTTCGCATAATCGTGAACTTTTTATATTATATGCTTGCTACCCTTGGTTCATCACATGTTATTATTGTCGCAGAGTTTGCGTGACTCTGTTAGGGCTCCAAACAGAATCGTTTATCAATGAAATAGACTATATATTAGTGACTAAAAGTCGTTAGACTTTCTGGGGAACAATAGAGGCTCTGGCTTTAATTAAATCCCACTATTGGCCAAGAAAGTTCCTTTGTATTTGGGGGAGGGGGGGGGGCTGAATGGTTAGCACGTGGTGCTGTACCATAAAGTCTGTCATTGAGTCAACTGGCGTGGTTTCGATTCTCCGGTTGTACGTGACAAGGAGTAGGGTCGCCTGTCCAACCTCGTGGGTTTTCTCCGGGTCCCCAGGTTTCCTCCCACTGCTAAAGACCCCTACGCGCAAGTGAATTATTGAAATAATATTGAACCATGTGTTAATCCCGAAATGACCTAGTTTGTGTGGAGTGGACGTTAAACCCCATTTCTCTCTCTCTCCCTCTCTCTCTCTCTCTCTCTCTACTTTGAACTGTCTAATCCTCCCCCCTCCCCCTTTTCAATCTAATGGTGCAGGAGGGAAGGACATGCAACGATTTTCCCCTGGTTTTAACCTGTGTGCCCATAAAATAACCCCCCAAGAATTTCCCTCATGGTACGCCACGTGTCAAATTCCTGACTTCATTATCCCTGTTTGTGTAGGAAAGTAGGACATTAAAATCCATTTCATTTGGGAGCTGTGGTGACTCGGTGAGTAGGATACTCGCTCGCTAGCCGGGAGGCTGTGGGTTAGCTCCTGGTATTGTCAGGGGTGCAGGACGGAAGGACTGCCAGGGACAGTAGTCATTCAGATGGGGTGAAAAACTGAGGTCCTGTGTGCAAGTAAAAGATCCCTTGACCGTTGGAATTCGATATAAGAGTAGGCCGTAGCACCACTGCCCGGGCAAAATTTCCCTTATAGCACATTGTATGACGTATGACAGTCTTCATTAGCCCAGTTCGGAGCAGAATATTAAACCCCATTTCATTTAATTGAGATTGTTAAAGGACACAATACTCTGAAAGCAGTGTGATGAATCAAGGATCGTAAGGATACTCTATTGGTGGCGTTTATGACAGTATGGATCATCTCCACCTCTAGAAATGTCTGCTTGATTATTATTTTTATTATGTTAAAGACATCTGTTGCCATAGGAACACTTTGTAGATATAAGGAGATGCGAGAACTAAAATGTTTCAGATACTAAGTGTGTCAAGGGTTAAAAACACTTATAAAATATAAAAATAATTTTAAAGTGAATATAATCAAATACAACGTGTTAGTACTCATATTGGTCACAGGACATTTAAGATACGATCGATGTCAAGATTGGTCACATCTTTAGGATTAATTGGTTTTTGCCTGGAGTTCTCGGGTTCGCTCCTGCTGCTGGCCAAGCAAGTTCGCCAGGATTTTCCGACGCGGTTTCTGACTTTAGCAAAATTAGCCTGCTGAAAAAATGGATCCTATGACATAACATGTTAAAAACAACGCTTCCTCTCCTAAAACAGAATCAATCATCGTACGTACTCTTTCCCACAGACTGCGACCTTGACTCCTGAGTATCCAGTCATGAGGGGCCTTTGGAATCATGATGTATGTAGCATGCTTAAAAAAACCATTCATCTCCGAAGAGAGCCCCAGCTAAGATGGGTAGCCTAATTGAAGGCCGAGGGCATCTAGTTGTATCTTTGGAGGGGCTGAGATCTCTACCCAACCCAACTCTATCTGGAGTACGGATGAGATCTGTACCCAACCTAGCTCTATCTGGAGTATGGACCAGGTCTTTAATTGCTTGCTATTGTAGATAAATGTACCATATTATTATTATTAACTATATTTTGTTAAAGTATTATCTTGTGAATATGACTGTGTTTGTTATTGTAAGACTCCTGTACCATAGAGTTAGTGAATTGATGATTTTAACCATTCTGTTCAAATTTGAAAGAACATTCAAGTCACGCAATGATTTTCAAATACAATAGAAACCATTGAAAAAGGATCTCTGCATCATTTTTGTTGATTAAGTCTGGGGCGTTAAAACAGTGGGGGCGGAACAGTGGGACGTTAAACCCCATTTCATTTGTATTAAAGAAAACTTAAAATATTTAAAGAATGCACGCTTTTTATTGGACAAAAGATACAAATTGTGCTATGATTATTGTGCTTGGGCGTTTTTCACAATGCTCACTGGTGCAGAACAGAGGACCTGACTGGGAAGAATGTATAGTCGTACGACGAATGGATAGAGATGAAAAAACAATGCCGAATGTACGCCTTCTCGAGCATGTAAAAGAAGCCGTGATATTTGGAATGGTGTAGCGCCACTGTCCAGGCAAAATTCCCTCATGGCCCACTACATGGCGTATGCTTATTAAGCCAGTCGGTGCAGAAAAGTTAGACATTAAGTCCCATTTGTTGTTCTCTGCTATTTCCCAATAGCGCACTACATGGCGTATGCTTATTAAAGGCCAGTCAGTGAAGAAAAGTTAGATATTAAGTCCCATTTGTTGTTCTCAGCTAATGAACCAACGATATTATTAACAAAAAAATATCATGCAAATCAGACCCACAGTCTCACCGACATCACCAAGCTACTAAAATATCAGTGAATTCCGTTCGATCGACTCATACACTTTCCATTCTGTTAAGAATAGGCGGATACGCCACTGTCCAGGCAAAATATTCCTCATAGCACATTTTTACCCAATATTTATAGATGGTGCTGTTTCTTTATATCTTCTTCAGGTGCTGATAGAATGGTAAAAATACCGAACATTTCCTTTTAGACAATCTGATTAAAATACAGATCTAGATTTCGTTTTTTATACGCCCACATGGAAATGTAGTCGTATATATTGCCGTTGCCCCCGTCCGTCGGTCCGTCCGTCCATCGTCCATCCATCGTCCACAATTTCTTGTGAACACTCTACAGACTACATTTATCATCTGATTGTTTTGGAATTGATATATGTTGTTTGCATTAGTGAGATGAAGAAGCCTATTTAATTTCAATAACTTCCGTTAATGTCTTCTGGAGTTATGGCCCTTGTTTCACTTTGTTGCACCTTGTGAAGCTCTAACAACAAAAGTTATCAACCGATCTGTATGAAATTTATAAATTAGTAAAACAAAGAAGCCTATTGAATTTCAGCAATTTCCGTTAATTACATCTAGAATTATGGCCCTTGTTTCACTTTGTTGAATCTTGTGAACGCTCTAATGACAACAGTTATCATTCGACCTGTTTGAAATTGATATGCATCATTTAAATTAGTGAAACGAAGAAGCCTATTGAATTACAGCAATTTACGTTAATTACGCCGTGAGTTATGGCCCTTGTTTCACTTTGTTGTACCTTGGGAACGTTCGAATGACAAAAGTTATCATCCGATCTACATGAAATTTATATGCATTATTTGAATTAGTAAAACTAAAAAGCCTGTGGAATTTCAACAATTTCAGTAGATTACTTCCAGAGTTACGGCCCTTGTTTTAGTTTTTAGAACCTTGTGAACCCTCAAACGACGAAAATTATAATGTCATCTGTATGAAATTGTCTATTAAATTCCCCTTATTACCTACAAAAGAATAAATAAGCAACAACCCTTATCGACTGCGGACGATTTAGCTGCTGTGGGCGTATGTTTTGTTGCCTGGCAACCTATCTTTATACTTTCGATGGTCTACACTACATGAAGATCTGACAAGTTATAGTGGGAGTTCACGTCAGGAGTCAAACGAGCTGTTTTTATCCCGCGCCGAACGAAGTTAGGGAGGGATATTGAAATGGGGTCCGTCCGATTTTGTTTCCGGAGCATATCTCATAAACCGTTCAAGATATCTTTCTGAAACTTTGCACACATATCAACCTATTACAGTAGTCGTGCCTTTTGCTATTTAGGAATTTTTGGGATTTATATTTATTTGTGTTTTCATGGAAACAAAAATGACATAGTTTTTGGTGTACAATTTTGTTTCCGGTGCATATCTCCTAAACCGTTCAAGATATCTTTCTGAAACTTTGCACACACATCAACCTATTACAGTAGTTGTGCCTTTTGCTATTTAGGAATTTCTGGGATTTATATTTTTTGTGTTTCCATGGAAACAAATTTGACTTAGTTTTTGGTGTATAATTTTGTTTCCGGAGCATATCTCATAAACCATTCAAGATATCTTTTAGAAACTACCCATTACAGTAGTTGTGTCTTTTGCTATTTAGGAATTTCTGGAATTGATATTTTGTGTGTTTCCATGGAAACAAATTTGACTTAGTTTTTGGTGTACAATTTTGTTTCCGGAGCATATCTCATAAATCGTTCAAGATATCTTCTTGGCACTTATTTTGAATTTCTCAGATTTGATAATTTTATGTGTTTCCATAGAAACACATTTGGCTGTTCAAGATACCTTTAAAATAATTTTACCCATTATTTTATTTTCTGAAATCCAGCCTTCCGTCCTGATTTTGTTTCTGGAGCATATTTTATAATGTTTTCAAGAAATCTTTTTGAAACTTTGTACAAACATTAACCTATTATAGTATTTTATTTTCTGATGTATAAGTTTATTGTTTAACATACAGCAGTTGATTGAGGTAGGCAAAGGTTGTTGTGCAAACCTTACAGGGAGTAGAGACCCTGCCTTTTCGAGCTACTGTGATCAGAGTATGAATTTCTGTGAATTGATATTCCATGGCATCGGAATATGAGATTTGTCTAAAGCTTCAGTTCCCTCCACTTGCAAAATATCTCTATTTTCTATGTAGTCTAATGTAGTCTAATTTTTAAAACCAGAGCTTAATGTCATAAATTATCTCAAATCTTCTAGTACATATGTAAATATCTACTAAACAGGGCCACAATATTAGGACCAGTGACACTGTTTGCGAAATCTGATACATTTCTATATTGAGTACAAATAGCAGAAACAAGTTACTTTTCATTATTTCTTCCAAACAAGTGCAAGGGCGCGGGATGTTGGTGACTAGTCATCTTGTTGACTTTATGGCGTCAGGCATTGATTAATCCATCGGCCTTGACGTTTCGAGTGGTTCACCCACAGTTCCGTGCATAAAAGGGCCAAGACTCACCGTAACAGACCGTTTCATTGGCTAATTCCTCACATCAAGTAGAAGTCCTGTTACATAACAACTATTCCAGATCTTAGTGTAGTAAACACAAGTAAAACGATATTTTGAACTATAAAAACGAAATGAAATAGGATCTGTGTTTTAATCTGATTGCCATTTAAAGTAAGTGAAATGGGGTTTAATGTCCTACTGTTCTGCTCCCACTGGGCTAATGAAGACGTTGAATCCCATTTCATTTTATTTCATTTGCGTCAGTTAATAGAAGCGATTGCATCAGGCGACCACGCTTTCAGGACCATAGATTATTTTCAGTCACCCCTTGTTATCCGTGATTCAAAAAATGGGCAAAAACTCTCACTTAATTCCGCAAACAGAAACGAGGAGGCTCTATTTTAACTAATAATACTATTTGTACTAGACATCAGTGCTGGCTTTTTCAGAATTTTGCAATCACAACGCTTGATTCTATTTCGTTTCCTTTTCCATCATTATATATTTTATCATCTTCCTGAATAAAGCAGAGAAAATCGAGGCCATTATATTAAACGAGACAAAACAATTTTGTTTTTTGGTTAGATTGTAAGGGTGAATTTTGAGATTTGATTGAACACCCCCCCCCCCCCCGACCAAATTTTCAGTCAAGCTGGATAATATTTGCCACCACCACAAGCCGTTCAGAATGATTTGAAAAGACGTTTTCTTTGTGGATAACAGATGCCAAAACAGAGATTACAGTCCATGAAAATGGACACAATAGACTGCGTCATTTTGAAGCTTTGATACTCGATCACCTGGCAAAACGGGAATCGGAATCAAAGAAACTTGCTACATTAAATTGGAAAGAAACGCAGGAGAAGAATCAGAAAGAAATAGTTGATTATATAGTACTGGAAAGTAGTTGTCATGACAGCCATATAAATCTCCCATGAAAAGAAGCGTCGGTAGGCATACAACTCCACGTTCATGCGGTACAGAAGCTTTCATCCCTCACAACATTCTCAGCTCAACTAGACTGACAGAATTGGCTATTATGTGTCCTGATTACAGGACATCTATTAAACCTGGGTGGACTAAACCACAAGATGTCAGCGCAGCGAAGTAAAAATGGGATGACGGGCAATAATAAGCGTATATTTGCAAACTATTGGTTGGGGTGGGGTTGGGGGTGCAGAATCCAGACGTAAACAGGGGTTTATTTAAAGAAGAATAATGTTTTCATAATTGGTTCATTAGACTGTTAACGTGACAAGGACTAGGGTCGCCTGTCCAACCTCGTGGGTTTTCTGCGGGTCCTTTGGTTTCCTCCCCACTGCTTATCGAAATGAAATTGAACCATATGTTAGTCCCGAAATGACCTCTTAGAGATAATGATCTAATAATAGTATCATGTTACACTTCACCGAATGTCACGAAAATGATCAGGCTACATATATGTGCAATTAATATTGACGACTGCAATGTGAATAATTAGTTAATGTTGTACTTTTATTTTCACTTAACATACTATAAAAATCTAGCTATAATATGATATTAACATTGACAACTACTGGGTGAATTATTAGTAGTCTTACTCCAGTCAATATTCTACTTTCATTTTCACTTTACATTCTAAGCAAGTGTTGTGTTTCTTAGAAATTAAATTATATACCCTGGCGATGAGTAAAATTTTGCCAATTCATCCAAGCGTGTTACGTTCTTTAAGTTAACTGTGTATGGTTATACGAGACTATTGTATATATACGTCACTAGGAAGCGTATCGTACAAGATTCAGTGTGACAAATGTCAGTTAATTTGATAAATTTACATCTACCAGTTTAAGTTTTATTTATAGCAATGAATCGACGTAGAAAAAAGGAAAACTGGAAACAGTAAGTAGGTTATAAATATTATACACATACCAATGACATGACATAAAGTGATCAAGTGAGATGATTATATTTGTACTTGTGTATTGAGGATGATTATTGATATATACTCTTTAAAAATAACAAACTGAAGATTGGTCTTCATATAAATTCATTACCAACCGGTTTCACAACATAGTGATCATCAGGGTAACTTATACATTGTGTTGCTAATGGTATAGCGTTAACAATGTCAAGGGACGTGATTCATGGCGTCATACGAGTAAATGTGACGTCAACATAGTGATCATCAGGGTAACTTATACATTGTGTTGCTAATGGTATAGCGTTAGGGTCATACGCAGTATATGTGACGTCAACATGATTTCATGTTAGTTACAGTTTGATTTAGGGGTATATCCTTCAATAAAAAATCGTTATTTGATATATATACTAGGTTACTAAATGAGCTTTGAGTCCAGGAGCGAATGACAAAATAATATTATGGTCATCAGTTCCCCAAATTTGTTGTTGGTGTCTATACGAGTAAAAATCAATTGGTCAGATCGGACATAGCCACAGCAGCACCTTAAAGTACCCCTCATGGGACCAAAAAATTAAGTCATAAATTACATGGTTGAACTTTCTGCACAAATCTAACCTAAATTTCCGGGGCTTTCCCCAAGTCAGACCACACCAAATATCTCCTCATGGGGCTAATAATATGGTCATCAGTTACATAGCTGTAACTTAACATAAATATGGATCAGTGCATGGACACAGTGATTTTCGAAAATCTAACCATAAATGGGCGCTATTGCACTTTCGTACCTCTACCAGTTCCCGTGGTCGTAGGCACTTGAAATTTTCAGAGGATGTTAAGGGGGGCTATCAATGACCACACACCAAATTTCAGCCGAATCGATAAATAACTTTTTATTTTACCGACCTTTTAATTTCTAACGAGAGAGAACTTCATCCGTTTGACGCCATTTGCTTTGTTTACTAATTAGACTTGAATAACAAGACACTAAGACGGAAACCGACTCGAATAACAAGACACTTAGACGGAAACCGACACACTGCACTAGCTGCCTAACACTGCAGTTCATAAAAATTAATATAATTTTCGTATACTTTAATTTTTGCGCGAAGCCACCATTTTCTATAAAATACTATTTGGTGTTGATCAGTGGATTGGCCTTTAGGTGTAAATATTGCCGTGACCTTGATTTTGACCTTGAGGCCAAACTTCCCATCCATATCGGGGCCTTTCCGTTTATGCTTGCCGTGGCCTTATTTCTTACTGTATTATCAAAGTTAATGTTCGAGGTGAAAGCAGAGATGACGTCCTTCAGAAAAGATAATTGGGTTAAAGTCGTAGGTAAAGGTCATGTTACAGAAAACTAAACTCAAACTTTTCAAAATCATTTTTGGGACATTTGACCTTGACTTACGACCTTGACCCCGTAACCATTTTCGAAGGCTATCACACTGGCTTGAATCATGAACGTTTACCTTGGTCCTATCGCACACTGCTCGGTCAGAAAACGGTCAAACGCAGAGGGTCCGTGTCTGAAAGGAAGTCAATGGGCGTGGTCAATGTGAAAGGTCGTGGTGACCTCCACTAGTCACCGTTAACCATCCGTAACCTTGACTCTGACCTTGAGTCCAAACGTCCCATCCATCTCGGGCCCTTTGCGTTTATACTTGCCGTGGCCTTATTTCTAACTGTATTATCAAAGTTAATGTTCGAGGTGAAAGCAGAGACGACGTCCTCCAGAAAAGATAATTGGGTCAAAGTCGTAGGTCAAGGTCATCTTACAGAAAACTAAACTCGGACTTTTCAAAGTCAGTTTTGGGACATTTGACCTTGACTTACGACCTTGACCTCGTAACCATTTTCGAAGGCTATCACCTTGGCTTGAACCATCGACGTTTACTTTGGTCCTGTCGCACACTGTTCGGTCAGAAAAGGGTCAAACGCAAAGGGCCCGTGTCCGAAAGGAAGTCAATGGGCGTGGTCAATGTGTAAGGTCGTGGTGACCTCCACTAGTCACCTTTAACCATCCGTGACCTTGACTTTGACCTTGAGTCCAAACTTCCTATTCATCTCGGGCCCTTTTCGTTTATGCTTGCCGTGACCCTATTTCTAACTGTATTATCAAAGTTAATGCTTGAGGTGAAAGCAGAGACAACGTCCTTCAGAAAAGTTAAAAAGGTCAAAGTCGTAGGTCAAGGTCATGTTACAGAAAACTAAACTCAAACTTTTCAAAGTCAGTTTTGGGACATTTGACTTGACTTACGACCTTGACCCCGTAACCATTTTCGAAGGCTATCAACTTGGCTTGAATCATGGGCGTTTACCTTGGTCCTGTCGCACACTGTTCGGTCAGAAAACGGTCAATTTCTCATCGGAAGTCAATGATAACCACTTCCATTTGATTTAAGTGTATCATAATTGGAGGGTCTATAGCACAAGTGATCTAACAACCAACTAAAATGGTTGGTAGTTAGATCACTTGTGCCCTAGACCCTCCAATTGGGGTCGAAATGATGAAATTAAAACCAGAATAAATTTCAGATCATGAAAATCCAACCCATATTGGCGGTGATAGCTATGGCCTCGGTCAGAGGGGTCCCGAATTCAAAAAGGACCCTCCCAGAGAGGTCAAGGGGTCGAAAAATTTAAACCCTGATATTTTTGGATCGTTTGGAAACACACCATCCCAAACCAAAGAACAAATATCAATTTTAGCATACAAATCCTACGGGATGACATGTCATACAACTCTATAAATTCGACCTGCGAAAAAAGTATTCAATTTAAAAATGACCTACACATGTATAAGGTAATCAGTTCTTTGAATTCTTTGCTTTAAAATTTAAGTATCTCTAAAACATATTGAACTTTTATAGCGCCAAAATCCAGTTTGTAAATATATGACTATGAGTGCACAATGTAAAACAATATAGATAGAAATCATATCAGAATAAAATAAAACTATTTGGTAAGACAAGATAATAGGATTTAAAAAAATAAAATAGCAGGGTACAGGTGCAGATAAAATATAGATAGAAAATCTTAAATTAAAATTAATCTATACTATTCAAAAAAAGTAGGGGATATTTGATTTTTAAGTGTTATTAAAGTCACCTAATGAAACTGACGAAGAAACAAATGACAAAATGAAATGAAGTTCACATTCATCGATTTATTCCAAATGATCGTTAGACTAAGTAAGGCACAGACTGACCATTATAAGGGTAAAATGATACCCGGGGTCAAACAGCAAAGTTACCACAGCATCACAACCAAGTCAGTAACGGGTAAATCCTCCTCTGTTTGCCAAACAAGCATTGATCCGATGTGGCATACTCCTAATGAGACGTCTAAGGTCATTTTGGTCCAGATTGTCCCATTCCTGTTGCAACGCAGCAGCAAGTTCTTGGACATTTGCAGGACGTTGTTGACGTTGACGTAACCTCTGTCCAAGCATGTCCCAGACATGCTCGATGGGGGAGAGGTCGGGACTCAGTGCTGGCCAAGGTAATGTGGTGATGTTCTGTTGTTGGAGGTAACCTGTAACGATCCTGGCCCTGTGACATCTTGCGTTGTCATCCTGGAAGATGAAACGGCGGCCATGACGTCGTGCGAACGGCACAACATGGACTGCCAAGATGTTGTCCCGGTAGTACTGGCCTGTAACACGCCCTGCAACAACATGTAAAGCCGTTCTTCCAGCAACAGTGATGCCTCCCCACACCATAACAGAACCACCCCCAAATCGATCATGTCTGATGACGTTAACGTCTTGGAAGCGCTCGTTTCGACGACGCCACACCCTCCTACGTCTGTCCAAAAAATCAACAGTGAACCTTGACTCATCTGAAAACATCACATTGCTCCAGCGTCGATTATCCCAGTGTTGACGATCCCTACACCTACGACGTCTTGCCTGAATGTGATGATCTCTCAAACAAGGGATCACGCGAGGACGTCGGGCGCGAAGGTGACCCCTATGCAGTCGATTCCGAATCGTCTGGCCACTCACTCTCACACCAGTGTCTGTTTGAAGACGAGCGCTGATCTGATTTGCTGTGATGACACGATTTCTCAAGGCCAAGGTACGGATAAATCGATCCTGGGCTTGAGTTGTCGATCTGAGCGTGGTCTGTCCTGTACAGATTGTGTATCACGGTATCTGGACCATAGCCTGCTTATGACAGACTGAGAAACATTCATCGTCCGCGCCACAACCGCCTGTGTTGTGCCGATCTGTAGCATGCCAAGGGCACGTAACCTTTCATTTTGGGTAAGCCGACGCATATCAAAATTTGTTTTCTGGTCACTAAAACAATTAAACTGATGTTTCCACCCTGGAATTCAATGCCACAATGACTGTAACATTCAAAGTCAGAGTCGTGCAAATCTTGGGTTGGACCCCCATGATGATCCCAAGCATCACCTGCATTCCATGCCGTAGCTATTGGTGCGTTTGGGCGTCACATGTAACTGGAAATGTTTCTTCTGTTAGGTTCTATAGTGACTTTTTTCGTAGTCATTTGCATATTTTAGTATTATGCCCCCAAAATCAAATATCCCCTACTTTTTTTGAATAGTATATTTAGTAAAACAAACAAATATCAGTGTACAGGTAAAATATAAAACATTAAAATAATTGGTAAAAGAGATAATTACGTGAAGGCTTTCCGGAACAATTCTGTTATAGGTAATTTTTGAAAACTTCGAAACATAACTGGTCTTTGGTTCCAATTTTAATGAGTCAGTGTGGTTAACAGTGGAGATTTGTATTAAATTATCTCAATTTGATCCCTGTGGGGTGACCTTTTTTATCATTTGTGTGTCTTTGTGATAATTGAGTTTAAAGTTTAAAGAGATTTGTATTAAATTATCTCGATTTGATTCCTGTGGGATGACCTTTTTTATCACTTGTCTGCCTTTGTGATAATTGAGTTTAAAGAAAGCTGAACTCCGATTACAAAACTAAAAAATAATTAAATAAAAAAGGTAACGCCCTAAACGACCGCCATACTTATTTTCAATTTGTAAAAGAAACATGGCGATCACATAGGGGTAACAAAAACACAGGCAGGCCACGCCCACGTCCAGTATATGCCGTGTCAAGCACTATGGCCTACTCTTATATCGAATTCCAACTGCCAAGGGATTTTTAAGTGCACGCAAGTGTATACACGAGGCTTAAGTAACACTGCAATGACATTGTCGACATCTTTAATATCTACATGTTGGTATATGATTGAGATGAAACAAAACAATAAAAAATGATTGAAAATCCGAAATAGTAACTTTGAAATAAATTATTTAGGAAATAATGAAACAAATGTCTATGTGAGGATCGCACAGTTACAAGGTTTTATAAAACAAGGCAGACCAGTTTTGTTGCCTGGCAACTTATTTTTTATAAAACAAGGCAGACAAGTTTTCAATCGTAGGCGTAGGATTGTATGACTTGTATCTTATCTGTGGAAATTTCATAAGTAAAGTGCATCAGTTATTTGTGAATTTATGGTCTATCTTAATATATGTGATGACAACCGATCTTTAACAGCAATTATATTTTTTTTTCAGGTTAAAAGAAGCTGTCATTAATAATGATACAGTTGCTGTAGAAAGAATTATTCAGGAGCATGTAGAATTAGGAGACGACTGTAATATACCGCCTTGGATATGGGTAAAGGAGTGTGCAGCTGCTCTTAAAAACAGATGCCTACCTATGGTGAAATTGTTGCTGTCCTCAAAGAGTATTGCTAGGCACTTTGTAGGTATTGAGACCAATATACAACTGATGAAGACTGCAATAAAATCTGATTTCGCGGAGGGCGTTCAGTTCCTTCACTTTAAAGGAGTACCTCTTTATCTTTCTGCTTCAATATCACATTACAGTTGGCATGCCATCATTGAATGTGTCCAGAACAATAAGATCGAGGTGTTAACATATCTACTTGATATAACAGATCTAGATAAAAACCCCGACAAAGACGAGACCTTATTAATGTTATGTTGCCGACAATTACACGTGGAAAGTTTGGAGATTTTGTTGAAGAGTGAACTAAAAAATACAATTAATCAACAAACAGGCGATCGTCAATATTCGGCTCTACACTATTGTATTGGTCCCTGGCGGAAGAAGGAAGTTCTTGATTGTGTACAATTATTGGTGGAGGCAGGGGCGGATGTCAATCTATGGGATATTGATTGGGAAACCCCAATCCAAAAAGCTGCTGAACGTGGTATGGTGGCAGTGGTAATATTTTTGGCAAAAAGAGGAGCAAACCTTGATATTAGATACAATAAAGGTACCCTTATTCATTGTCTTGCAGCAGAGGCTAACGAAATGTCAGGCTATTATGATGAATGTGTTCAATTATTAATAACCAAAGGTATAGACATTAACGAACTGAACTCATCCAATGAAACTCCACTGTATTTAGCAGTATGTCATGAAGAGATGGTGAAGACATTAATTAAATCACACTGTGATGTCAATATCAAAGTAGGCGACGACATGGGATCAGTTTTAATGGAGCCAATAGGATACAGTGATACTATTACTCAAATACTGATTAATGCTGGATGTGATGTTAACATCGCTGATAAATACGGTGTGACACCTTTAATGAAGTCTATAAAATGCTATCAGACGACTATCACTGAGATACTGATTAATGCTGGATGTGATGTTAACATCGCTGATAAAGACGGCGTTACACCTTTACTGGAGTCAATAAGAAGACCAGATGCGACGATGGCTGAAACACTGATTAAAGCTGGATGTGATGTTAACATCGCTGATAAAAACGGCGTAACACCTTTAATGAAATGCGTGAAGATGGGTAATCTTGTTTTAGTTAAACAGCTTATTGACCGCGGTGCATCTGTGAACGCTAAAGATAACAACGGATGTTTTGTATTGGACTATTTATTTCGTTCTCACCACCGTTCGACAGATATTGTTAAGATAATGATAGAGGCTGGGGCTGATATCCATAAAGGTAATAATCTGTTGTCTAGAGCAATTGATTGTCAAAAGTATAAAACGGCTTCATTACTCATGGAACACGGCATCGATGTCAATACGGTAGATAAAAATGGAGATAAACCCCTTGCTCTTGCCTCCAAACATTGTAAAACACATTTGGTAACATTGCTGATATCAACAGATTGTGATATAAATCACCAGAATCTACGAGGAGAAACAGTGTTGCACAAAGTGTCGAGATATTCTGCTTATAATCAAAACAAGAAGAAAATAATAAAAACGTTACTACAGAATGGGGTGAACGTCAATCTTAATGACGTCGATGGAGAGACGGCCTTGTTCATAGCAGTAGGTAATAGAGAAAGATCTATTACTGAAGAATTATTGAAGGCTGGTGCTGATGTAAACCACTGTGATAACAGAGAAAGAACCCCAATGATGATCGCAGTTAAAAATAAGGATAATGTTATAGCAAATATTTTACTACAAGCTGGTGCCGATCTGAAACCGAAAGATGTATGGGGTAGAAATGCGCTATACCTTGCAGTACTCTTGAAAGTTTCACTGGATTTAGATGTTTTACTTAAATATTCAAATTTGAGAAGTGAAGCAGATAACGCCACATATGAGGAAGGCAAAACATCTTTAATGGCGGCAGCAGAAAGAGGACCTAAACCTATGGTAGAAACACTACTCAATGTTGGTTGTAATATCAACCTACAAGATCATTGTGGTAAGACGGCATTGATGTTTGCTGTTGACAACCAGGATGAAACTATTTTATCACTTCTACTACAGAATGGTGCAGACTATAATATTTGTGATGCCGATGGCAGAACAGCGTTGCTGTTGGCAGCAGAAAGAGGACCTAAAGACATAGTAGAAAAACTACTCATTGCTGGCTGTAATATCAACTTACAAGACCATCGTGGTAAGACGGCGTTGATGTTTGCTGTAGACAACCAGCATGAAACTATTTTATCACTTCTATTACAGAATGGTGCAGACTATAATATTTGTGATAACAATGGCCAAACAGCGCTGATGGCGGCAGTACAGAAACAAAAAGAAATTCATTGTGAGGATTTACTGAAAGCTGGGGCTGATGTTAATTTGAGTGATAACAATGGAAATACAACTTTGTTGATTGCAGTCCGGTTGAATAACTGGAAGATTGTAAATGGTTTACTGAATGCTGGAGCTGATGTTAATCTGAGTGATGACAATGGAGAGACAGCTTTGATGATAGCAGCACGAAACTGTAATAGGCTGAATGACAGGAAGATTGTAAATAATTTACTGAATGCTGGAGCTGATGTTAATTTTAGCTATAACAATGGAAATACAGCATTGCTGACTGCAGTCGGGTTTTATAACAGGAAGATTGTAACTGATTTACTGAAGGCTGGAGCTGATGTTAATCTGAGTGATAATAATGGAGAGACAGCTTTGATGATAGCAGCACGGAACTGGGACAGATTTATTTTAGAATGTTTACTGAAAGATGGAGCTGATGTTAATCTGAGTGATACATGGGGGAGATCAGCTATACATGGTATAATGGTTGATGATGGTTATCATTATAGATGGATCAACTGTCTAAAATTACTTTTAATCAATAAATGTTACGCGTCTCTTGATACTCCGGGAGAAGATGGAAAAACTTTATTCGAATGGTTACTGCTGGAAAAAATGGAACAAGATCTTATATGGTATCTCATAACGGAAAATTGTTCTCTCAAAGGTTTGGATCTTTCAAAGGTCAAAGATAAATTTCAATTTCCCGATATGTTGATGCTTTCTAAAATTCTGTTTGAAAGTGGTGCACCGAAGAGTGAAGTAGAGACCATGATTTTGTTGTCGGTTTTAAATACTGATTTGTCGCGTTCCACACATAATCCGATGCTTGGTGAATCTGAAGATAAACAACAACTTGATGATTTCCGCGATTCCTGTAAATCGAGAAGTTTGAAGTCAAGATGTAGAAGAGAAATCAGAAACTGTATCGGACCAGGAATCAGCAGTAAAATAACTCAAGTTGGTTTACCGAAACGTTTACAAGATTATGTCGTCATGAAAGACTTGATACCCGAGAAATACTATACTCTTGTACTAAACGATGAAGATGACGACGATGAACATTGGGTAAAGTTATTATTTTTATGAACCAGATTACTATTCTGACAATTATTATTATGATTCCTATGGCAGCAGTGCTAAAAGTTATTATGAACCAGATTATTATTATGATTTTTCTGACTAAAGACTAATTAATATTGACGACTGCAATGTGAATAATTAGTTAATGTTGTACTTTTATTTTCACTTAACATACTATAAAAATCTAGCTATGCTATGATATTAACATTAACAACTACAGTGTGAATAATTAGTAGTCTTACTCCAGTCAATATTCTACTTTCACTTAACATACTATAAAAATCTAGCTATGCTATGATATTAACATTAACAACTACAGTGTGAATAATTAGTAGTCTTACTCCAGTCAATATTCTACTTTCATTTTCACTTTACATTCTAAGAAAGTGTTGTGTTTCTTAGAAATTAAATTAAAGTAGCTAAGTCCCTAACTCAATATCATCCAAAGTCTTCGACATTGAAAACACAAATTATTTGTCAATTTAAATCAACACTGATGTTGTTATCGTATCGTGAAAAGATGGGCTTCTGACAACCAATATTTAAGGCAAAATAAACATTTTACCATTGGTACACGAATCGTGTACCATAATGCGTTTCAGCGTCATTTGTAATAAGCGGCTCGAAGAACGAGGCTAGACATATTCCACAATTAGGTCATGTCAAACGGTGGGGCCATATTCTTATCTGCAGAGCATGCGCAATAAATACTATCGGTATAGACTGGAATAACCAGACGTTAGAGATTGCCATTCGATTGGCACTTCTGGCGTGTTTCGCCTAACATAACTGATTTGAAATTAGAGTAAAAACGGAAACGATTAAATGTAAATCAGTTTATATACATTCATATTACATTATTATATGCGTTGCGACCCATTTGTGTCAATTTCTAGGTCCCAAATATGAGCGTTTTAGCTCCTTTAAATACCCTGACGATGAGTAAATTTTACCTCTTCATCCAAGCGTGTTACATTCTTTAAGTTAACAGTGTATGGTTATACGAGACTATTGCTAATACGTTCGCCACAAGGAGATGTACCGAACAATATTCAGTGTGACAAATTTCAGAATTAGCCACTGGTTAATTTGATAAATTTACATACCAGTTTAGATTTTATTTATAGCAATGAGTTGTGAGGAATTGAGAGAACAGTAAGTAGGCTATAAATATTATACATGTAACAGTGACATGACATAAAGTGATCGAGTGAGATGATTATATTTGTATCTGTCACTATGGAGAGTATATTATACATATACCAATGATATGACATAAAGTGATCGAGTACCCCTCATGGGACCAACAATTAGGTCATAAATTACATGGCTGAAACTTTCTACACAAATCTAACCAAACTTTCTGGGGCTTTCCCCAAGTCAGACCACACCGAATATCTCCTCGTGGGGCTAATAATATGGTCATCAGTTACATGACTGAAACTGAACATAAATATGTATCAGTGCATGGATAATGCGATATTCGAAAATCTAACCATAAATGTTGGGTCTTTCCTCAAGTCAGGGTGACCTTTATAACTTAGCCCCACCGCATTCCCTCTATATAAAGCTTATAATATCAATGATACCGTTTTAAACCGCAGCAGAATTCAATATATTAACACAAAAGTAGAACAAATGTTGTTAGCTATGTGAACTCCTCAAATGAAAAATAAAAATGTTATCTTATGATCCGAAGGGTACTTTAAGGTGCTGCTGTGGCTATATATGCCCAGCCGTGCACGATCTGACCAATTGATTATTACTCGTATGGACACCTGCTACAATTTTATTTTTTTTTGGGGGGGGGGGGGTGTTGTAAAACCTTTTGTAACTGATGACCATATTATTTTGTCATTAGCTCCTGGACTATTATATACGTATTTATGTAGATAGGTGATTATGGCGCTATTGCACTTTCGCACCTCTACCAGTTTCCGTGGTCGTAGAGAAATTTGCAGGGGATGTTATGGTGGACTAACCTCAGTTTACCGACCTTTTACCTTCTGCCGAGAGACAATTTAATCGATAAACGCCATTTTTATACGTCCTCATGGAAATGTGGACGTATATTGCCGTCGCGCCCGTCTGTAGGTCCGCCGTCCGTCCGTCGTCCATAATTTCTTGTGAATCTAAAGCTAAAAGTTATGATCCGACTGCTTTAAAATTTATATATGTTGTTTACATTAGTGAAATGAAGAATCCTATTGAATTTCAGCATTTCCCGTTTATTACGTCTAGAGTTATGGCCCTTGTTTCAATTTGTTAACCAAAAGTTTGTGAAATTTAAATGCATTATTTAAATGAGTAAAACGACCTTGACTTACGATCGTCACTCGTCACTCTTGGCTTGGACCACCGACCTATACCTGGGTCCTATCACATACTGTTTGGTCAGAAAACGGTCAAAGGCAGAGGGCCCGTGTTCAAAAGGAATTCAATGGGCGTGGTCTATAATGTCAAGTCATGGTGACCTGCAGTCATCAACGCTAACCAACCGTGACCTCGACTTTGATCTTGAATCCAAATTTGCCACCGAGTTCGGGGTCTTTGCGCTTAGGTGTGCCATGGCCCTATTTCTTGTTGTATTATCAAGGTTAATTTTCGAGAAGAAAGCAGAGAAAATGCCCTTCCGGAAAGATGATTGGGTCAAAGCTGTGCTTCCAGCTATCCATCGATACTTTACTTGTTTAGATCTGATGACATCAGACTGAGAAATCGCGTTTTTATACGCCCACATTTTCATGTCGACGCATTATGCCGTCGTCCCTGTCCGTCGACAATTTGTTTGTGGACACTCTACAGATCATAATTTTTATCCGATTTTGACGAAACTTCAAATATAGGTCTATCTCCCAAAGATCTCGGTTCCTGTCGATATTGGCATGTATCGGACCATAACTTCATGGATTATGACCCCTGATTGTACGAACAATCACGTTTTTAGCTTGTGGACACGCTAGAGGTCACAATTTTAACCTGATTTTGATGAAACTTAACATGCATGATTATAACCTAACGATATTGGTTCCTTTCGATATTCGCGCATATCGGATCGTAACTATCTGAGTTATGGCTCTTCATTGTGCAAAAAAAAACAACAAAAAAACAACAACACATTTTTAGCTTGTTGTCCCTTTAGAGGTCACAATTTTTATCCGATTTAAAAAAAATACTGTGAATATATCACCATTACACAACAAGATCTTGAATTCTTTTGATAATCGCGCATATCCGAACCTAACATCCATTATTATGGCCCATGATTGTTCGAAAAATCGTATTTTTAGCTTGCGGATTTTTTTCCGATTTGAAAAACGGTTTAAATATATCACCATTTCACCATAATGAAGGTTGAATTCGAATGTCGGGAAAATTGAAATGAAACTGTCCAACAAAATGACCCCTCTTTGTACGCAAATTGTGTAAAAGTATGTAATACAAAGGTTGTCGACTCTCTTGAGGTCACAATTTTTCTCCGATTTTGATGAAACTAAAACATATCTTTATATCCCAAAGATCTCAGTCCCTTTTGATATTTGCGCATTTCAGACCATAACTTTCTGGATTATTGCCCCTGATTGTACAAAAAATCATGTTTGTTTTTAGCTTGTTCTCTATCAATCTCTTGCAAAATGTGGGCGTATCCTGCCTGGCAGCACTGGTTCGCAAAAGCTCCAATTTTTACGCTTTTTTTTAAAATATCGGATATGTTTTCGACTACTTCGGGTTTTGGATCATTGGATCAAGAAAAAAAAAAAATTTCAGTTATTTAAGGATTTTTCAACTTAAAAAAAATAAAAAAAATTGAGGTCGTTTTAAGAAAAAATCGTAGGTGTCGTTTTCGAAAATACTAGATTTTCGGCGAACCATAATTTAATGGGACTAACCAACGACAATTTATTTGTTTTGATCCGCTGAAAACTGACGGAGAAATGAATTTTTTCGCAAGATCACCAATTTTTTTCACCTATTTTTTTTTCATTTTTTGGAATACTTCCGGTATACGAATCAAATTCGGGATAGTTTTAACAACAGGTTTGGGTACTTGAATGGTCCCAGAGCCTTTAATGATATACTACACTATCTGATCAAATGAAATCACACTAAGAAATCGTAGGTTCAAAAGTGCCATAAATGCAAAAATGTCAAAATATCGAAAATTAAATTTCATTAACTCAATACATATTATACATCGTTAGAATCATCATCAGATCAGCTATCCTAACATATAAACGGTTTTTTCTAAAAAAAATCTTTACAAATAAAAAATATAACGTTTTTTCGACTTTTTTTTTTTCGATTTTCGGCCCCTTTTTTTGTGCTATTCCTGTTATTTCAAAATCCTATTGGATTTCTTCTTGCAGAAGACAACCGAAAGAACTCTCGATAGACAAAGTTTAAGAAAAATTATATGTCTGGTGTTTGAAATACAAGAGTCAGAAACTGCTCCAAATAGGAAAATACTTGATTTTTGGAGTACCATATATTTCTCCATTATCATCAAATATTGGGTATCATACGATAGTCCATTCATCGGTCCATTTATCGGTGATATCCGACGGAGGAAGCGCGTTTTTTCCAAAAGCATCCATTTTTGCGGTGTTTTTTTTTTCAAAATATCGGACATTATTTCGATTACTTCCGGTTTACGGATCTTTGTCGGGATGGCGTTTTTTAAGGCCTGGGCATATAACTTTTTTTTTCTTTTTAAATGGGCAGAAATTTTTTTAAAAATTCCAAAAAAGTAAAGTGCGATGTGGTCGTGTAATGTCGTCGCCCCCGTCCGTCCGGCGTCAACAAGCAATTGTGGACGCTCTAGAGGCTACAGTTAATATCCGATTGACTTTATACACAGTGTTTAGGGTCATGAGATGAAGAATCCTATTGATTTTCAGCGATTTCCGGTAATTGTTGCCAGAGTTATGTGAACGCTCTAAAGGCTAAAGTTAATATCCGATTGACTTTAATTTAGCGATTTTCGATAATCACTGCCAGAGTTATGGTCCTTGATCACTTCAAAATATATTGTGGCTGCCCTAGAGACTAAAGTTAATATCCGATTGACGTTAAATTTATACGCAGTGTTTAAGGCCATGAGACGAAGAAGTCTAATGATTTTCAGCGATTTCGAATAATTACTGCCAGAGTCGTGGCCCCTGATTTTACGAAAAATCACGTTTTTAGCTTGTGAACCCTATAGAGGTCATAATGTTTATCCGATTTAAAAAACTGCTTTAGTATATCACCGTTACACCCTAAGGGTGGTTGAGTTCGAATTTCGTGAAAATCGGACCGAAACCTACGGACAAAATGGCCGCCCCTCGTTCGCAAATAGTGTCAAAATATTGCGTATCAGGGTTATGGACCCTCTGGAGGTCACAATTTTCATCTGATCTTGATGAAAATTGAAATGCATGTTTATAACCCAAATAGCTTGGTTCCTTTCTATTTTCGTGCATATCGAATCCTAACCTCCTGACTTATGGCCCTGATTGTACGAAAAATCGCGTTTTTAGCTTGTGGTCCCTCTAGTGGTCACAATTATTATCCGATTTAAAAAAAAAACGTTCGAATATATCACCGTTACACCATAATGCTTGTTGACGTCGAATTTCGTGAAAATCGGGTCAAACCTGCTGGACAAAATGGCCACCCCTCGTACGCAAATAGTGTATACATCTGGTAAATCAAGGTTGTGGACCCTCTAGAGGTCACAATTTTGATCCGATTTTGATGAAAGTTGAAATACATTTTTATAACCCAAAGATCTTGGTTCCTTTCGATATTCGCGCGTATCGGATTGTATCTTCCTGAATTATGGCCCCTGAATCTACAAAAAATCGTGTTTTTAACTTGTGGTCGCTCTAGAGGTCACAATTAAAAAAACGTTCGAATATATCACCGTTACACCGTAACTTCCTGGATTATGGCTCCTGATTGTTCGAAAAATCGCATTTTTAGCATGCGGATTCTTTAGAGGTCACAATTTTTTTCCGATTTTTAAAACCGTTTAAATATTTCACCATTCCACCATAATGAAGGTTGAAGTCGAATTTCGGGAAAATCGAATTGAAACTGCCGGGTAAAACGGCCGCACTTTGTAAGCAAATTGTGTAAAAATATGCTACGAAGGTTGTTGACCCTCTAGAGGT